TTTCCATTGTTTTCCCAATACGTCAGGCCATATTTCCTGTTGTTTGCCTACACGGGCATTAAAGTCACCTAGCAAGATGATTCGTTCGTGCTTTGGAATTCGTTGAAAGGCATTTTGTAATGCTTGGTAAAATTTATCCTTATCTTCAATTTTAGCGTCAAGGGTGGGAGCGTAGGCACTAATGTTGTTGACGTAAGTTTTGTCTGATATGGGGTACCTTAGGGTCATAAGACGTTCGGAGACACCAATAGGTACTTCTGTTAACTTGGTGGCGATTTCGTTTTTGATCGCAATGCCTACACCATGAATTCTCCTGTGTGTTGCGGGGTGACCTTTCCAAAAGAAGGTGTAATGCTCCTCAGTGAGATACCCTCATCCGCAAAGCGGGTTTCGCTAAGAGCGGCAACATCTATATTTAGCCGGTGGAGTTCCTGTGAGACCAGTGCTGTTCTTCTCTCTGGTCGATTGGAGTTTGTCCTGTCCAGTAGAGTGCGGACGTTCCACGCCGCAAACGTGAAGCATTGATGATGTTTTGTTTCTCCGATGATACGCTCGAGTAGGCACCCCTCGGAGATCCGATTGAGGGGTATTTTACCTCGGACGATAATTTTGTCCCACTCAGATGTTCCATCATTGCTGTGTGTAAGCTGCGTGAAAAGGTTTAACTGTGGCGGTTACGCTGCCGCACAGTTTTGGCTGCAACTGTAGCACGGGATGGCTATGGCACAGTGAGGACTGCGACGATAAATCCCTTGTGCTACGTTCTCGGCCGGCTAGGTGTATTTTATTACTCCTTTCCCCAGAAGATGGTAGGTCTGAGGGTTGTATAAGGTTATACCGCCTATACTCGGACGTCAGAGCCTCGTTTGTGTAAACAGGGTGCACCACGTGAAGGTGAGGTTGACTTTTGGGCAAGCTAGGCTATATGTATCGCTTCAATACCCCTTGCACCCCGAGTGCCTATAAGGCACAATATAAATACTATTTGACGCTTTTCTTGCAACGGTCGCGACCCAAAGCTTTTGATAATTTCGGATTGATTCGGTTTTTTCCGGAATCATGTCGCCAAATATTATTTATTCAAATTTATTATTTATTTCTTTTAATTTTATAAATAAAATACAATGTGTTGCGTACAAGAATGTATGAAATACCTATGAAACATTAAAAACCGACGTTATGCCACGATCCACGATGGTTTTTACAGTTCACAGTTCACAACACAGCTTTTTAAGTTTTTAATGCCACTTTTTCACACTTATCACGGGTTTCAGTAAATAAAATTTAAATTAAACTCACAAGATAGCAATAATTACTTTGAGAATAGACGCTTTAAACACTTTTCGGTATTTTTTCAATGAGGGCGGTTTAAATTTTAAAAGATTTTATAATTTTTGCAGATTCTGACTTTGACAAGAGAAAATTATTTCTGTTATTGTTTGCGGTTGTTCTTAGCAATCGCTATAGCAGCGCCAGATCGCATACAACGGTCGCGACCAAAAACAATTATATATTTTGATGGGCATTCTAAAAAGAATAACACACCAAATCTCTTTTCTTATCTGAAAAAATAAAAAAGTTATAGGGGGATGAACCACTTTTGAGACGCACGCGGTATATAAAAGAAAAATGTTGATTCTCTTAACTGTTTATATGCAAAAAATACTAGATAATTAGATACGGAAAAACATCAACGAATATAATACCTTTACGTTAGTAAGGCTTTAAAACCGGATTTCATTGGCTCCACGGCACAGAGTTATCGAATATAACTAATGATATGTCATTAAGTGATGTTACTGTCAAAGGTCACCACAGCATTAGTGGTAATTGGCCACAGTAAAGCATTGTGTAGACTTAATAACGATTGATTTCTTTCTAGTTAAATTTATATTGGCGTAAAATTGTTGTTATGAATATGGCTTAAAAGTTATTTATAAAAAATACGTTTTTTTTTTTTTTTTAATATTTTTTTCTATTATTTGGGAATTTTTTCCAAGTACTTTTAGCGTTTCGAATGAAAGTTTGAGGTAAAAGTTACTATAAATGCGACATATTTTAAGGCTAAAAAAGTTCCCGCCGATAATATGTTAATAAAAAGTGGTAGGCAGTTCTTTTAGTTTTAAAGTAAAAGAAATTTTCAAATTTTTTATCTCAAAAACCCTGCGTCTTTGACTGATTTTGATGTTATTACAATTTTGTTGTTGCAATAATCTTAAATTGAAAACCGCGTTTTCGCTAGCTACTGTAATTTTGGAGTTACGATTTTTTAATTTTAACCCCCTCCCTTACCCCCTTACCACACTCACTCCCACCAAAAACTAATGCCCAGATTCTCGGGTGCCACACTATTTTGTGCCAAATTTGATTGAAATCGGTTTAGCGATTATATGGATTTTCGGTTACAGACAGTACGGACAGACAGACACCCATGAAATATATTTTCTTATTTAGGGTCATTTTATGACCCAAATAACAAATAACTCATTTTGAGTGGAATTAAAAAAACTTTTTTTTTTTGCCGATAATAAAACAAAAAGTTCCTATAAACATGTAAGTTCCTCGGGAAGCATTTTAGGGCACACGTTTATAAGAACTTTTTATCTTATTTTTATCTGTACAGAAATATGACTATATATTATTATACTGCTCATCAAAGTTAAATACACTATTTTTTTTGACACCCTGTATTTTTCTCCGTCATAGTTAATCGCAAACCATAATTACATGGTTTTGCGCCAATGAAGCTTAGATTTTTAAACCGCAGAAGGAAATTTCGCTGTATTTTTTGTATATTTAGTTTTAAGCATGTGTGGTTTTATACAGGGTGCTACAAATTCGAGGTACGAGCGTTGATATCTCGGAAACCGTAACAGATACGAAGATGGTTAAATTGGAGCAAAGTTGCGCCTTGGGCTGTTCACCAAGATGCCATCAAAAAAGTTTTAAAAATTTCAAGAATTGCTGAGTTTTTTGGAAAAAACGGATTTTTTTGAAAACTAATTTTATTTTTTCATGTCTTTACTTTTTAGAAGATCAAAAAACTAATTTCAGATTCTCATAGCCACTTTATTAGGGCTATGTGATAGTATTTTTAGATTTTAAAATTAGCTGATAATTTGTGAGATACAGGGGCCAACTTGATTTTTTTAAATACGGACCTGCATTTTTTATTTCAGAATTTGATAGAACTCAGTCTCCTGAGTACAATGATATGCCACACTTTATACTTTTTTTTTGTTTTGGGTACCTTAACAGCAACAAAACTATTTAATTAATATTTAAAAAAATTTCAAGTCCGACTCTGTTTTTTTAAATTATTTAATCTGATCATATTCATCGCAACAATATTGATCAGTGTTAATTAACATTGAATAAGGAAAATTGAGCCAATTGAAAGATTCAAATAAATAATATCCAGATCAGCAATTAAAGATATTATTTTTAAGTTTTCTTATTCCGAATTTGAAATTCTTAGTGTACGATCTAATAATTTGCATAATAAAATCGTAGTTATTATGAATAAATTAACTTCTACAAACTAGTTTCTAATGCTTTACATAGTCTACATGTTCGAAAGGGTTACCGCCCTCCCTAATGCACAAATTTATTTTTCGTTCAATTTTATTTATAACTTTTGAATAGATCTTCTTCTTTATACTTTCGAATGCATTTTGTACTCTTTATTGTAACTGCCTAGATGTGTTGATTTCACTTTTTTGTAAAATTTGGACCTGGTACCTCGCTGGCCATTATACATTGCTCTACCATTTCCAATCCATCTTTCGGGGAAATAATTTGATTGTTTGTATTACATTTTATTTATATTATTTTTTATTATTTTATTGCATTTGATTTTCCGTATTCAACCCACGTCACTGTTAAGTTTTAAAGCTTATCAATATTGTAACGATGAATATATTAAATATTAAAAATCAACAGAGCCGGACTTGAAATTAGTTTAAATAAATTGTATCCAAATTTCCTAAACAAAAAAAATATTAAGTGTGGCATATCATTGTACTCAGGAGAGCGAATTATTTCAAAATCTGAAATAAAAATGCAGGTCCGTATTTAAAAAAAATAAGTTGGCCTCTGTATCTCACAAATTATCGGCTGATTTGAAAATCTAAAAATACTATCATATAGCCCTAATAAAGTGAGTATGAGAATGTGCATTTAGTTTTTTGATTTTCTAAAAAGGATCGACAGGAAAAAATAAAATTGATTTTCAAAAATATCCATTTTTTCCAAAAAACTCGGCAATCCTTGAAATTAAATTTTTTTTTTTGATGGTATCTTTGTGAACATCCCAAAGCGCAACTTTATCCTAATTTAACCATGTTTGTATCTATTACGGTTACCGAGTTACCAATGCTCGTACCTCGAATTTGTAGCACCCTGTATAGGAGAGCTTAAGAGATAAATGTCAATATCGAGTATCGACATTGATAAAAAAAACATGAAATCGATAATAGTCGTTTTACACTCGTAAATTATCGATAATGATTTGATATATCCATCTCTACTAGCTTCCTTAAATCTTTTACAGTTCTTGTTAATAAATAAGTAATTAATTCAGTCTATGCGATTTGACTAAAAATTATATATCGAAAATCTATAATACTTTTAATTATTGTAATTTTTTATAAACATTCATAAAGCCGTTTGTGCTTGTTGACCTGCGTTCCCGTATCGATTATTCAAAGCACAACCTGAACCTATATATCTGGCGGCATTTTCTAAACAATTATCGACCAACCGCAGTCTCGCCGAAGCCCATACACACACTCAAAGTCAATTTCAACTTAGAATAATGATGTCGGTTAATACCAGACGTCTTAAAGCAAACACATCCAGAAATTCCAGAAAGCTGCACGTTCTGGACGCGTTCCCCCAACTGAAAACAGGCAATTAACTCCTCGTTACCGTTCACCTTTATTTGCTCTGTTTCGTTTTTTATTTATATAATTTCTGGTCTGGTTTCTCTTCACTTGCAGAAGCGTAGTAAAGAAGCTTCGGAGGCACAATGAGGTGCCTGTGGCCTGGATTGTTGACGTTGGCAAGCGTAGTTTGGGCTCAGGACGTTCCATACAACAGATTTAGTCCTACGGGGAGTCCCGATGACCATTACAGGCCTCCGCCCCCTGCAGCGGGGCCTACTAGGTCACCGGACATCAGCGATCCTTACGGAAGAGATCATTATAGAGACAGGGACAGAGATCAAGTAAGAAGATGAAATATGAAATAATATATTGTTTCTTATATTAGTGATGTTTTTTTTTTGTTTTTTAGTTTAGTGAAGATCCTTATAATCCCAATCCAGATTATAATCTAGGAAGAGGACGGGAAGACTGGAACACGCACTCCACTATTATCAAAGAAGCGTAAGTATAGTACTAAGTAGTACACTAGTGCGAGGTATTCCGATATCGTCGCTGTTGATAAACATACGAAAAGATTTTTTATATAAATGTTGCATAGTTTATTATAAAGTTGCATATCCTAAAAATATTTTGTTGTATACAGGGTGTCGCAAAAAAAATATTAATAAGGTTTTAAGTTGATTCAAACTTTATCGTTACTTTTTTTGGTACATCTTGTATACAACAAAATATTTTAATGATATATTTGCATATGCCCCTGTATATACACATAATTTTTGGTTATTTTGCAATTTCTCTTGTTTTCCTGTTGTACAGTACTTATTTTGTGGTGGCCTCGAAAACGGTACGACCCGGCCAGCTGTACAGGGTGTTCGTGACGATACTCCAAGAGAAACAGCCCCTAACAGTGCGAGCTTCCATATCGAGAAACGGCGTAGAAATGTCAGCTGACTCCAAACCGGTCAAAGAGGGCGTTTCCGAAACCCTGCTGATGAGGGTACCACCAACGGGCGCGGCCGGACAGTACAAGCTACGCGTTGAAGGCCTGTACCAGAACATTCTAGGTAGGGATGTGATGTTTTAAGTACTCTTTTCTTTCTTATTTGAAGTATCGATATTTTAAATATCGATATTACCGAACATTACTACTAGTTTATTAATTTTCAATTAGGTGGTGCTGCGTTCTCTAATGAGACCGAACTGACTTTTCGCAACGATCTTGACGATTTTTGTGCAATTGGACAAACCAGTTTATAAACAGGGTGAGGTAGTTCATTTCCGTACCATCCCTATCAACACAGAACTCAAGGCTTTTGATGATGCTGTGGATGTGTTCATGCTGGACCCTAACGGACATATCCTCAAACGATGGCTCTCAAGACAGTCCAACCTTGGTACAGTGAGTCTGGACTATCAGTTATCCGATCAGCCAGTTTACGGAGAGTGGAAGGTACTAACCGGCAGCCTTAAAATATTTTTTCTTTCTTATTTGCCTATTTTTTTTAGGTACGGGTAGTTGCTCAAGGCCAAATCGAAGAAGCGACGTTCCTCGTGGAGGAGTACTACCAAACCAGGTTCGAGGTGAACGTGACAATGCCCTCTTTCTTCCTGGACACCGAGCCATACATTACCGGCATCATTATGGCCAATTACACGAGCGGCGCACCTGTGAGAGGAAACCTAACGATCAGAGCCTCTATTTGGCCCCGTCTGAGCGCTCAGAGGCGGTACGACGAGGAGTTGCGGAGGCAGTACGGTCCGGAGTATTGGACGGAGTACGGGAATCAGTACGAGGGACGGTGGGAGGGTTACGAGAGACCTTGGAGGTCGAGGCAACCCTCGGAGCGCTTGGGAAGGCCGTTGTACGAGAAGTACTTCAATTTTAATGAGCAGTTTCCTTTCTGGATGCCCCAACAGCAGTACTGGGTTCCTGTGCCTACTTTAAAATTCGTAAGTTTATAAATATAACACACAGTCAAATAGTTTTCTTAAATTTTTTACACAGTTTTATCTCTGTTTAAAACAAAAATGTTTTTTTAGTGTATATTTACGAAAGTGATTTATTTTACGTAATATACGTTCTTTTTGTGTCTTGGGAAGAATCTTATAGCGATCTATTAGTTTGTTAGGATTAATTAAGAATTCCTGGGTTGGTCAATTTTGTTTTATTGTGGTGTTAATTGCCCGGCTGACAGCGGAATGTTTTATTTTTATTTCTTGATGGATGGGAAAGAACTTTTCTTTAACTTGCTAATGTTTAAATGTTTTTATAGATGTGTTTATTGAAATTGTCTATTAGAACAGTAAAAAACGTGGCGGGGAGATTTCTCGCGTAAAAATAAAATTTATTTTATTTACTTTTAGTTTGAAACACCCTGTATTTCTTTGATTATATTTTTTCAAAACACTGATCGAATTAACAGATTAAAAGTACTTTTTCCCAATACGTTAGGATACTTTTCATAAATCAAATTATTCAATAAAGTGATTTATGAAATAATAGAGATTCAATATGTATATTTAGAGATTCAGTTTCATTTTTTATTCAATTTTAAATAGTGTATGGAAGATAGTAGACTTAAAAACTGTCGAGAACGCTATAATATATATTGTTTTTTATATAGTTCTACGGCACGTACGACTTCCGATTCCCCGTGGCCGAACTCTTGAGCCAAGACTGGAACTTCGAGCAGGTGGACGTGGTGATCACGGCCACCGTGGGCGACAGGTTCCTGGACGAGGTGGTCGAGGGCTACTCCACCGCGCGCATCACCAACTCCTCCGTCAAGCTGCGCTTCATGGGCGACTCGCCCCAGGTCTTCAAGCCGGGCATGCCGCTCACCGCCTACCTCGTAGCCTCGTTCTACGACGGCTCGCCCCTCGCCGAGCAGAGTCTGCGCAGCAGCTACATGGAGGTGACGGCAACGGTGGAGATGGAGGGGGGAGGCAGACGGGAGGTACCGCCGAAGAGGTTGTGGATGTTGGACGGACAGCCGGGAGTGTGGGCGTATAAGATCGATTTGAAGAGGGAATTAGGTAATTAAGAAGTTTTTATGTATGTATCTTTTAATAAAACATACATACTATATGATATATTTTTAACAGCATTTCTTTTTAAACTGGGTTGCAGCCAAACAGCAATGATTAGTACCACTAGCAAATAAAATGATAGTTTTTATAAAACCGGTTCTAATTATTTGGCGCGTTACGCATGCGTAGTGAGTCTGTTGTCTTTGAGAAAGGTGGACAAAAGAAATTTATCTCGAATATAAGAGTACCTTAAAATCCCTTAGCTTATGCCATCGATATACGTTGACATGTAGACATGTATTCGATGACATCTAAACTGTAAAGGATACATACATATATTTATATGCTTATTTCGTTTTTCCGCAGACATTTTTGGACCGCACGCCTTCGAAGAAACCAGCCGTATGTCCTCACTTCGTCTACGCGCCACGTTCCGGGACGACTACACCAATCAGCACGCCATCGCCGACCTGCACCTCTTGGCTCATTACAGCCCCACCGACAGGCAGCTGAAGGTCACCACTAGTACCTCCAGCCCTCGTGTGGGGGAGTTCGCCATCTTCCACGTCCGCTCCAACTACTACGTCGACAACTTCAAGTACGTGATCGTGGCCAAGGGCATCGTGCTGGTCAGCGGCGACCAGGACATGGGCGATTTCGTCAACACCATGACGATGGCGCTCAGTGCGGAAATGGCGCCGGTGGCTACGATAGTGGTGTGGCACGTCGGACGATACGGTGATCTTACCGTCGACAGTTTGACGTTTCCCGTGAATGGCATCAGTCGAAATAAATTTAAGGTAGGTTGGAAAATTTAAGGAATTGTTCCTCTGGAGGAACTAGAACTAATAAGGAACTAGAATTCCCACCTCTATCTTCATCATCAACATTACTTGTCCGGTTTTTCTAGTTATTTACTTAATCTAGTCTTAAAACTTACACTGAGTACTAAATTTCCAGGTATTCATCAACAACAGCAAAGCGCGCACGGGCCACAAAGTGGAGGTGGCCATCTACGGCGAGCCCGGCGCGTACGTAGGCCTATCTGGCATCGACCGCGCCTTCTACACGATGCAGGCGGGCAACGAACTGACCTACGCCAAAGTCATCACGAAAATGGCGACGTTCGACGAGCACGGCAACGGTACCCTCAAGCACGCGTGGACCTCGCACCAGGGCCACCCCGACGAGCTGCTGTACTTCCCCGCCAGCACCTTCGGCATCGACGCCAACAGAACGTTCGAGTTCGCCGGCTTGGTGGTATTCAGCGACTTCGAGGTGGCCAGAAGACCCAGCGCTTGCGATCCGACGCAGGGCTTCGGGGAGTGTCTGAATGGGAGGTGTTACAGACTCAGACAGAGGTGCGACGGAGTGCTGAATTGTGAGGATGGTACTGATGAAGCGGGATGTAAGTTTTATTAGTAAAATGTTTTCTTTTAAACAGGGTTGGGTAGGTAGAAAATGTTATATTCCTAAATTCGCCTACTTTAAATAAGTAGGCTTTGAACTGCGCCGGCTGCCGGCTGTAAAGCTAAAAGATTCTAGCTGTGAGCATCAATTAAAACGAAAATAATATTTGCAATGAGACCTAGTGATTTTCCCACTGCGGAGACCTAAATAAGCACCATAATTTTCGCACTGCGGAGACCTATTGATTTTGCCACTACAGGGACCTGGTGATTTTGCCACTGCGTGGACCTGGTGATTTTGCCACTCCAGCGACATGGTAATTTTACCACTGCAGAGACCTGGTGATTTTGCCACTGCAGGGCGCTGGTGATTTTGCCACTTCGTGGACCTGGTGATTTTGCCACTGCGGGGACATGGTAATTTTGCCACTGCAGGGACCTGGTGATTTTGCCTTTGCAGGGACCCGGTGATTTGCCACTGCGGGGACCTGGTGATTTTGCCACTGAGGGGACCTGGTGATTTTCCCACTGCATGGACCTGGTGATTTTGCCACTGCAGGGACCTGGTGATTTTCCCACTGCATGGACATGGTGATTTTGCCACTGCAGGGACCTAGTGATTTTGCCACTGTAGGGACCTGGTGATTTTGCCACTGCAGGGACCTAGTGATTTTGCCACAGCAGGGATCTGGTGATATGGCCACTGCGACGACCTGGTGATTTTCCCACTGCATGGACCTGGTGATTTTGCCACTGCAGGGACCTAGTGATTTTGCCACTATAGGGACTTGGCGATTTTGCCACTGCAGGGACCTAGTGATTTTGCCACTATAGGGACTTGGTGATTTTGCCACAGCAGGGACCTGGTGTTTTTGCCACTGCAGGTACCTGGTGATTTTGCCAATCGCCGCAGTGGGAAAATCACTAGGTCTCTGCAGTGGAAAAATTACTAGGTCTCATTGCAAATATTATTTTCGTTTTAATTGATGCTCACAGCTAGAATTTTTTTGCTTTACAGCCGGCGCCGTTCAAAGCCTATTTAAAGTAGGCGAATTTTTATAAACTCTATCTCGAAGAGGAATCAATTTTAAATTCTTTTCAATAAATTAAAAATATTCGGGTCGTCCCATATAAAAAATCAAATTTTCTGTTGATAATTCTTAAATTATTAATTTTGTATCTGTTTTCAGAATTTATTCATTTTCTACTTAATATTCTACATTTTCTACGCACGTAAAACGTAAAAAATTAATTTACTACGCGTCGTTATCCCCCCCCAACCCTACTTTTAAATAATCTACATATTATTTGAGCTAATTTTTTTCCAAGGTGACCCCGACAACGGTACGGAACTCACCTTCTTCCGCAAGTTCCGCTTCAACCGGCTCCAGCGACAGTACGACAACGTCTGGCTGTGGCGAGACGTCAACATCGGACCCCACGGCCGCTACATCTTCAACATAGACGTCCCCCCTCGTCCAGTCCACTGGATGGTGTCCGCTTTCAGCGTGAGCCCCACCATGGGCTTTGGCATGCTCACCAAGGCCATCGAGTACGTAGGAATACTGCCGTTCTTCGTCAACGTCGAAATGCCCGCCACTTGCACGCAGGGCGAACAGGTCGGGATCAGAGTAACGGTCTTCAACTACATGACCGAGGACATGGAGGCTACGGTCGTACTGAAGGGATCTCCGGATTATAAGTTCGTGCATGTCGAAGAGGGCGGTTACGTCAGCGCTTACAACCCTCGCACTTCCTTCGGGGAACACCAGTCGTTTATCTACATCAAAGCACAGGATGCGTCGCAGGTGTATATTCCGATAGTACCAACGCGTCTGGGAGATATATACATAACAGTTTACTCAAGTACTTTGATTGGAAAGGATGAAATCACTAGAAAACTTCACGTGGAAGCTGACGGTTTGCCGCAACATCGGCACCAATCAGTTTTGCTGGATCTCAGTAACAGAGCCTACAGTTTCCAATACATGCACGTTAATATAACAGAGACCCCAATAATTCCGTACGCATACGACAGGTACTACGTCTATGGATCAAATAAGGCCAGTCTATCAATCGTTGGTGACGTGGTGGGGCCTATTTTCCCTACCATGCCAGTCAACGCGACCTCCTTACTTCATTTACCAATGGAATCAGCAGAACAGAACATGTTCTCCTTTGCAGCGAACATGTATACGTTGCTATACATGAGATACACTCAGCAAGAGAACAGGACCCTGCAGAAACAAGCTTTTCACTACCTGAACGTTGGATACCAAAAGCAATTGAGTTATCTGCAGCCGGATGGTAGTTTTTCAACTTTCAGAAGCGACTGGAACCAGTCAGCTTCTTCGGTATGGCTTACGGCTTACTGCGCTAGAATACTCCAAGAAGCGAGTTTCTACGAGTGGGAGAACTATATCTATATCGATCCCGAGGTGATCGCTAAAAGCGTGGAGTGGATTTTGAGGCACCAGACCGAAGAAGGATCGTTCTACGAAACCACCTGGATACCAGACAGAAAATACAATTCTTCCCTGAATTTTAACGAGAATGATTACATAGTTCACAGGAATATCACGCTGACGGCTCACGTACTTATCACACTAGAGAGCGTCAAAGATTTAACAAGTAAGTATGTTCTCTGTAATGTTTTGGAAATATACAGAGTATTCTTTGATGACATGCTAATATTTAAGGGATTGTCTTAAACATCTTAACTTTTGAGATACATGTAGTGGAGAAATTTTCTCAAAAATAAGCGTTCTTTCATTATAACCCTGATGTTATTATACCGTGCTGGCAACTGTTACTTTTGGGTCGGCATTTACATGTGTGGAAGTAAATCGCATAGGGATCTTATTAAGTCGGAGTGAAAGAAATGCGACGTTGTGCTGTTGCGCCGTTGCCGATACGCCTTTCCCTATCAAGTAAAGTAAAATCACGATCGCAAACCGCTTATTTTTAAAAGACTTTTTTTTCAAGAGATAACTAGATAAAATCATGAATGGTATTATAAGGATATCGTTAGGGTGTATTTTTTTTTATAACGAGAAAACGTCGGTAATCGCGATAATTTAACAACTTAAGTTTTTAAAACATAACAGGCCATAACTCAAGAACCACTTTAGATATTGAAACTTTTTTTTATTTTCAAGATCGGATATTTAACAATATGTTTTACATAAGAAAAATTCGATAAGGTTGTTTTTTCCATTCAAAAATTGTAAACAATCCATCCATTTACTTTTAGAGCATAGCAATGTTCAGCAATCGTGTAATTTTTTTATTGATAAAGATTTTCACATACTGTCTACAAAGAAAATACAGCAGAAATATTAACAAAGTTCTTGAAAAAACTACAATCTATTATTTCTAATAGATTTCGAGATATCGATTTTTGAATTCAGAGTTCTAATAGCGCGACCACCATCGAACACCCACTCAATTCCATTTATTTTTACCAAAAATGCAAGTGTTTCTAGCTTGCACTTAAAAAAATTCAAGCCTTAGTGAAAATTACAAACGACTCGTTAATAAATAAACAAATCAAGTATCACGAGACGTAATTAAATCGTGAAGCTGAACGCATGCCGTACACATTTCCCTAGAACTTTAAGTACTGACAGAGGTATTGATTGGGTCGACCGGTCAACTGCGACAAATCTGCTATATCCCCTTCCACGTCTCTTAGCGATGTGCACAGTTTCTCGGTTTATTTCATACGTTTGGCAACGTGTCTACTGTCCTCTCTTTGTTCAGTACATTATAAACGCATTGTACTCTTCTTACATACGGAAATCTCGACCCAAGACTAACCTTTACCAGCCCTTAGTATAAAATGACAGCGATCTTCATTTCATAGCCATCGCTTACGCCGTTTTTTTTTCGATCATACGGTACTTATGTCGTATATTTTATTTTACCTTCTCTAGGTGGCCTCAGCTCTAAAGTCTCCATAGCTGCCAAAAAGGCCGTTTCTTGGTTGGAACGCAACATGGACCTCATCGAGGACAAAGGTCAGGCCTTTGACACTGCCATAGTGGCCTACGCCCTCATGAAAATCAAGGCGGCCAACGCAGAAACCGCCTTCATTGCTTTATCCAAGAAAGGCACCCTCGAAGGTGGATTACTGTACTTTGCCAGGAAAAACGTTCCACAACCACCGTTCAAAATCGAAAATCAGAGACCTTTTCTGTTACCCAGACTGCCCTATGAGTACGACAGCGAAAACATCGAGGCTACGGCCTACGCGTTGATGGTCTACGTAGAGAGACAGGAACTGTGGGTGGATAACATTGTCAGATGGCTCAATACCCAGCGTCTGTCCGACGGAGGCTGGGCATCGACCTCGGACACGGCCAACGCTATGAAGGCCCTGATAGAGTACACTTCGGCGCAGAGAATCAGAGACATCTCCAGTCTGTCTGTGCGAGTTGAAGCTACCTCTCTTCCTGGTCAGAGCCAAGTTCTATACGTCAACGACAAGAACCGAGCCAGGCTGCAACATATAGAAATACCTAACGCGTGGGGTACTGTCAAGGTGGACGCCAGGGGTACCGGGTACGCTATTCTGCAGATGCACGTGCAGTATAACGTGGACGTGGAGAAGTTCCAGACTCCTCCGCCAGTGAGGGCGTTTGATTTGGTTACGCAGCAGTCGTACTATGGAAGAAATCAGTCGCATATTAATTACGTCAGCTGTCAGAGGTAAATGTTTAAAAGAACGGTATGGTATTTTTTAGAACAGTAGTATAGGATCTGTATTATTGGTTGCATATTTTTCAAGTGAAATATCTTTAAAAATGTAACGACGCGACGTGTAGTTGTGAGCAGTCCACGTACTTATCAAAAATATTGATATTTTAATACAAATTTTGTGAGAGTGAATCCAATTATTTATTATTTTTTTATTTTACGCATATAAAACTATTTGTCACACGTAAAAAACTATTTTTTACGCGCATAAAACTGTTTGTTACACGTAAAAACTGTTTGTTACACGTAAAAACACTATTTTTTATGTGGAAAAAAATATCTTTTTAATTTATTACATTTTCAACATTTCAAACTACACATTTTCCAATACAGGGAAAACTTACAATAGCTATAATTTTTAAACCAAAAAAGATATCAAAAAAATAAAAAATACTGTTTCTATAATATCGAGGGGGAATACATATGATGCTGAAAAAATCACCTTTTTCATTAATGTCCACCTAATTTTTCGTGTAAGGGGTAGTTTTTCAATTTCACCCTAAATACTTTATGATCATCGTTTAGCATTTTTCATGGGCTTTCCAAAAAAGCGCCACAAGTGGGGTGTTGCCATTTAAGATTTTCAAGTGAGTAGGGGTGCCGCCCAAGGGGTAGGTCGGGGTGGTTAAAAAAATACGTCATATGTATTTCGCCTCGATATTATAGAAACGGTATTTTTTATTTTTTTGATATCTTTTTTTTTGGTCCACCCTGTATTTCCTTCAAATCCTTCAATTTAATAGCTGTTAGTAAGCAGATTGACTTCAAATATGCGCAATAGTGCACACACATTTTTTTTTTATATGATACATTCCATTTGCTAAACTGTGTTCCAGAACTTAAACTGAAAATTCTTGTTTATTTTTAGATGGACAAATTTACAAGAATCGCAACGGTCAGGCATGGCAGTACTGGACGTAACAGTTCCTACAGGATACATCATACAACAGCAAGATTTAGATGCATATATTCTTTCGAGAAGAGTCAGAAACTTACAGAGGGCCAAGTTCCAAGAGCGCAAAGTCTTGTTTTACTTTGACTACGTAAGATTTCCTTCTGGCTACAAACTATAAACAAATTTAACTTCTTTTTTATTTCCAGTTGGATAGTGAAGACATCTGTGTTAGTTTCACCGTGGAACGATGGTTCCCTGTGGCAAATATGTCCAGATATATAGCTGCAAGAGTTTATGATTACTATGCTCCAGGTATAGAAGAAAATCGCTCTATATTATTTTATTTTAAACTATTTTTCTTTCAGAGAGATTCAACGAAACCTTGATAGATGCCCTATCCTCATACACCTTAGACATTTGCCAGGTGTGTGGTAGTTACCAGTGCCCCTACTGCTGGATCTATAACGCAGCCCCGAGTCTTTCAAGTCCCCCATTAGTACTTATCCTTTCAGTGCTACTAACGGTAGTCTTTGCTCAGCGTTTCGAATTCTACGCGTGATCACTCTTTCCCATGTAAAACTCTGTACCATATCAAGTGATAGCGATACAACGTAGTACAAAAGAAAAAAACGAGATACATTTAATGCCTAAGGAATAGGGCAGCAGTGAAAAATACGAGAGATAGACGAAATCTAGTTATTTTTAATTGTGGTGCCTGTCGCAGGTAGGGTAAGGGCGTGTTTTCTGTGAAAATGCGTGCGTTTGGTACCGTTACCAATAATGGAAACGAAGAAAAGATTCTCCTAGTCTCAATTAATCGTAAACCGTCCAAGGGGACGCCACTCCAAGTGAAGCGTCACCATTTTTATATCTATTTTTATTTAAAAGAAAAGGCCTAATATATTTCTCCTAATGGGTAATAAATAGCATTGTTTTTATACTTTAGTCTTTAGTTTGAAATGGAAACAATATTTTGGTGTGTATTCTCTGTTTATGAATATGGTAAGATTATTATCATTTATTTAATTAATCAAGGATAGTAAAGTATAAAAACAACGTTAATATATAAGTGATTTTAGTTTGTCCATTTTGTACTTTACTTACTTTTTTTAAGCTTATTTATATCACTAAACAGACAAACTACCTTTGTGTGGACTTCTACATTTTTTCTGTTGGAATCTCAAGATGTGTTAATTGTAATTTTCAAAATTATATTAAAACAAAGAGTATGTTGGTCTGATACACATGATATTATTTTTGTATGTACATCGTTTTTATTTGTGCTCATTTTTCTACCCCCAACACATTGTAAATATATACGTTTCTTTTGTTATATATAGGTAATAAGGTGTAGATCAAAAAAAAAATGTTTGTATACAACACGTTGACTTAAATAAAGAATCTCTTTTTTGATAAATTGCTTTATTAACTTTTTTCTGGTTCCTCATCATATTCAGGCACATAGTCTTCTTCGCACATTTCCTCGTCTAGTGCCTGTAAGTTCTGCAAGAACATTTGCTTTTGCTGCGACAGCAAATATTCCTGGTCAGTCGTCCAGTTCTTCTCGCCTTTCCGTAGTTTATCTTTCAAAATCTAAACAGAAAAACAACATAAATGACTTAAAAAATGATTTATAATTGGTACGAACCTCTCTAGAACGCAAGAACTGTCTCAGAGCCTGTCTTTGATCTTCTTGACTAACACACTGGGCTTGAATTTCATCGACTTTTTCAACAAAATTGTCTGCACTATCACTTTGCATTTTTCTATGAGCCCCTTCTGCTGCCTTTTTACCTTTCAATATCTACAAAAACGAAACTATTACCTAGCACAGTTTTTTGATAACACAACAATCTTACATGGCTCAAAATTTGGGCATGGTCTAAGCCCAAGACATTTTGGGGCATTTTAGGTGGTGGAGTTGAATCTATTTCGCTGTCCTCCTCTTCAGCATCCAATTTTTCTATTTTGCTCTAAAAATTGTAATGAATGCTAATGTTAATATTAAAATATACAATTTACCTTGAACTCGCTGTCTAAAACAGTCCATAGTTCAGGTTCTGTTTTTAGTTCGTCCGCCAAATCAGTACTGATGTGATCCTCGCCAAAATCAGCTACTGCCAATTTTTTTTCTACTTCCAGCACTTTAAAATATTCTTTATCTACAAAGGACAAAAAAAATACATAATGTTCTACAAATAAATGGGGGTTTACCTTTGATAAAAGTTATATTTGGAACTCTCCCCATTACTCTGAGTTGAGATAGTTCGTGAGTGAGAGACCCAGCGTTTTTTTTCAATAGTTGCTCCACAGCATTATCGTCACTAGATTCTTTCGAAACCCAATAAACTCTCAAAATCTTATAGTCCGTTGTAATTTTTACCTAGAATATTATCTGATTTGATATAATTGTTATGCTTAAACATTTTAAACGTACTTTATTCACTTCAATTCCATATCCAAAGAGTTGAGAGGAATATTCTCCTGTTGCCATCAAATCAGTTATGTGACGCATGAATAATTTGTTCAATACATGAGTTCGTTTTGGATTTCCAGTAATTTTAGTTGTTATTGGGGTTTTATCAAACAAGCTAGTACTAGGCAGCAAAGGAGAACCGTTGTACATGAAGTTTTTCCTGTATTAATTAAGTTGTTAAATGAAATTGGTATTATGAAACTATATGTTGTGCTTACTTTTTTTTGTTCATTCCCATTATTTTTCCCATTACTTTCGTAGCTTTAGAATTTATATTATTGCTGGTGTGAAAATAGTGTTTATTTTTTAATAAATAAACCATTTTTGTATAACAAAACATGATCTTAAATACTTAAATGTTTTCAAAATAAAAATAATTTTCTTTGAGTTGTCATTTTTTTTTCAAAAAGTATGCAACCAGAAAAACACCAATATGAAAGTAGTTCATTCGTCCTGTTTATTTTTAAACGGATTTTGAGGTTAATATTAACTGTCATTCGGAATTTGTTACTGTATAATTTTAATTTAAAATTTTAAGCATTTTTCTGAATTAACACACTATAAAAAATGATTACTGGAGCTCCGGACGTGCCTCCAGAACATTTTCAGTCAAAATCTACCATCGTAATTCATCCTGGTTCATTGAATTTAAGAATCGGACGAGCTTCAGATCTGAATCCGGTCACAGTTCTTCATGCTATCGCTCGAAGAAGGAAACCAGGAGGCCAAGTAGTTTAATAAGTATTGCTTATAAGTAAACGGTAATAATTTATCCTTTTAAGGTGTATTCTGATTCATTTCTTCCTGAACGCCACGACTTACTCCAGACCAAGGAGCTAGAAGAGGCCCGCTTATCTATTTCGCACACTCTCCAGTCCTGTTTACAATCCGATGGGAGACGTAGGTACGCCACACCGCCCCAGCAGATCGCGGCTTTTAATAGAAGGGTCCAGCCGGAAGTTATAGGTGATAACGGGGGTGAATGGGTCAAACCTGAACTCGATATAGTCATAGGAAACGACGTATTTCGTTTAAACCCAAAAGAATCGTTTAATATACACTTTCCGTATAAGAGAGGAGAGTTTAACATTCACTCAGGCCCTGGAGGATCTATGACTTCAGTTCTGGCTGATTTAGAAACTATATGGACGTATATTATTGAAAATAGTTTACAAATAAATCCAAGCGAACTAAAAAACTATCGCGCAGTGTTGATTGTGCCTGATGTCTACAACAGAACTTATTTAAGGGAATTGATGTATTTATTGTTGACGAAAATGTGTTTTGGAAGTTGTTTTTTAGGTAACAAAGGTCAGTTTTAATAAAAATTGTATACTTTTTATGAAAAGTGTTTTAGTTCAAGACCATGTATCTGCTACATTTGGCTCGGGATTAAGTTATGCTTGTGTAGTAGATGTGGGAGATCAGAAAACATCAGTTTCTTGTGTAGAGGATGGTATTTGTCATCCAAACACCAGGGTCAGACTGGAGTACGGAGGAGGAGATATAACACAGATATTTTATTGGTTACTTCAGAAATGTGCATTTCCTTATAAAGAGTGCGATGATCAAGCAAGTTTTTCTTAGTTATAACTGAAAATATATCACAGATTTTTTCCTTTACAGAATAAACTAGATTCGATGCTGTTGAGGAAACTAAAAGAAGAATTTTGCCACGTCAACTTGGACATTTGTGGGTCCCAAGAAAAATCATTCACTCTCAAACAACCGGGCAAACCGATTTGCCATTTTACTATACAGGTAGGGGACGAGTGCATTATTGCACCTCTGAGTTTGTTCAATCCAGAACTGTTCGCTATCACTGGACCGAAGCAAGTACAAACCCAGAAAATTTCTATCGGAGATCCAGAAGATCCCCATGATGAGATTTACTTGAGAGACATCAGGAAGAAAGGTTGAAAAATATATTTTTTTATTTTTATAACAGATTCCAAAGGTTTATATCATGTTTTTAGGCATGAAAGAGGAATCTTCTTCGGCAGATTTAAACGAATCCTACCTAGAAAACCAACCAGTGCCCGGAGACGACGATATCGTTGTAGACGCAATGGAACCAGTAGCTCCACAACCTTCAGTCAAAGAATTCGTGCTCAGTCCTGGGCAGATCCTTGGCCTGGACCAGGCAGTACTTCAGAGCATCGACCGATGCCCCAGCGAGGACCTGAAACGCAAAATGTACGGATGCGTTCTTATTGTAGGTGGCGGAATGAAATTCACGGGCATCGGTACTTGGCTTCAGAACCGCATCAGCCTTCAGATTCCTTATTTGTACCGCGCCGAGCAACTGGACATTATTACGAATCCCAGAGACATGGATTCCTCCATGGTGGCTTGGAAAGGGGCTTGCATCATGTCCTGCCTGGAAACGGCGCAGGAATTGTGGATAGAGGCCACGGAATGGGAAAAATATGGGGTCAGAGTGTTGAGGGAACGTGCTCCGTTCACTTGGTGAATAATAATCACAATAATAATAGTGTTAAACAGAGCTTTTAAATGTAAATATAGTTAAAATACTTTGAAGAGATATGCAACCAGTTATACATATACTAATAAAAAAATTAAACTTTATTACAGAAAAACACAGAACTTTAAGAGCATACTAATTAATTCACGAATGTCTTGTGATCGTATTCGCGGGTACTTTCGGGTCCCTTAATTTTCTCGTACTCCACCTCCACGTGCTTGGTCAGCGGAGTCTGAGGCGTCTCCATCATAGCGCAGTACTGCAGCTTCCCGTCCTCGGTCAGGCGGTACGACCTGTGCAGCGCCAGAACGGTCTGTTTGGCGAATTTCATGATGCCGATACACGCCGTGGCCAGAACCATCTCTTTGTCTTTAACATAGCCTTCTTCCAGGGTGCTGAGGCCGAAATTTTGAGCTGAAAACGCATTCTCTATAAAACGAGGGGGACCAAACTCACCTGAAGAGACCTCGTACATGTGAGAAGGGCCACGGTGCTGCGGTCGTCGTCCACGCGCAAGAAGCCCCTTTCCAGATGCATCACGCTCTTGTTTTGGGGGTGGCGCGTCTCGGAGGAGTAGTTCAGAAGAGGCTGGCCCATCGAGTGGAACTCGAGCAGTTCCGTGAACTGGACGGGGGCCTTCATGGTGGGGTAGTATACTTCGGCCTTGATCGACTTCCACGTTCCTGTGACAAGCTCAGTTAATTTAGAGCTAAAAAGTTTTTTATACCCACCTATCAGCCACGTTACATTTTTCAGTACTTCGTGTACTTTTATAGCCATTTCACCGTTAATTTCTGTTTTGTCATTGTTTTTTTATTTTTGACACTAGGTCTTGACAAATGTAATAAAATACCTTTTTTACAGGTCGAATAAAGATTTATTAGCACAAAAATATTTCTACATTTAGATATGATTTAGATTATCCTAATTATTCTTACTGGCTAACACAGAAATTCAAAAAAAAGAAGTCCCAAGCTTTAAAAATGTAGGACGATTTCAAAAATATTTTATGTACAGGGTGGGCCAAATTGGACACTTATAGGAGATATAGGACAATATAGGATGAAGACTATAGTCCAATTTGGCCCAGCCTATACATTAAGGGGACTAAAAATATTAGAGATATAAATGTAAAATAGTTATTACTTAAAAAATTCTAAATCTCACAGAATAAAACTAAGGCACGAGAATAATACATTTAAAGATTCATTCGCAAGATAAAGAAGCTCAATATTATTTCTTCAAGTTTAAAACATTATTGATATGTAATATTTAAGCATGAAACATGAATAAAATTTGTTCAACAATATTTCTTCTGTTCAGTTTCTGCCCTTAACACCTTCTTCCTTCATCTATCAATCAATGGTTTCTTTTCAAAAAACAACAGTATCAAATCATGTCATGAGCCGACTGTTCAGCTCAAATCCACCGCGTCCTATCTAACTATAGGACGTCGAACCTGATTGGACAAGACAGAAGTATAACAGGTGGTGCTACAAAAATAACAATCCACTGGCACACAAAATGGACTGTCTGGATTAGTGTGGACGACCTCAGAAATGCGTATCAGTCGAAAGTTGTGACTTTGCCTTAAAAACACAGTGAAACATGCCTTACCACAAACACAGTACTTTGCATAATCCAAGTAATCAATCAGTGTTAGAGGAATAGAACCTTTTGGATACTGTTGCCTGGTCCACAGTACTTTCTTGGCAGCATATTCTTTAAGTGTACACACAGGCAAAGGTGCTTGATCTATACCAGCACTGTTATGAAGGCATCTCTCAAAGTTGTTGTCGGTCACATTAATATCCTGTAATTTTAATTTCTTAATGCTACCAGGCAATTTAGAAAGTAAGTTATTGCTGGCGTAAAAACTCTTCAAGTTCCTTAAGCTGCCTATGCCAACTGGAAGCGATTTTAGACTGTTATCACTCAAATGTAATGTCACCAAGCTTTGTAATTTAATTATCTGATCTGGTACAAATTTTAACTCGTTTGAACGAAGATCCAAGAGAACCAAGTTCTTTAAGAGAAAACCATTAATCCAGGACCATTGTTTGAGGGTACCTTTTCCCAAAAGGTTGTGGGAAACATCCAGTTCCTTTAGGCTGGGTAGATTTCCTAGTTCTTCGGGTAAACTTTCTATGCGATTATTACTTAAATTTAATACTTTGAGCTTGTTAAGATGTAAAATGCCACTATCAAAACGACAGTAATTAATGTCATTAATGTATAAAGCCTCCAGGGTTCTTGGAAAGCCCTTGCTGGGATAGTTAGATCTAAAATAAGAATACAGTAGAAGAAGGGATATAGAGAAACAGAAATTTATAACGATAACTAACCTTTGTGTGATTGTCAGTTTTTTGGGAGCAATATCTTTAGCTTTAACCGGCGTTACGCTCATGCTGGACAAGGTGAGTTCCTTAGGCGAAACTTGTCCCTGTAAAACCCTTTTAAACAGATGTAAAAACCCTTTCAGTTGGATAGCTTCACCCTGAATGCACAGGTCGTGTTCGGGTTTTTTCAATTGAATGGTACATTTACCCTCGTTAACGAATTTCGTAAGCACATTCTTAATGTTCCCATTTACCGGATACTTTGTGCCGTTCTTGTTTTGACCAGAAAAGAGTATCAAAGAGAATTCGTCGTTTTTAGGATGCTTGCACAGTGCGAGCGTTGATTTTGAGGGTTTCTTTCTGAGATTGGCGGGTAAATTTGGCAACAGACGATTTACCACGCACACTGTACAGTAGATTTTCATTGCAGATCGTTTGTTTCGCGTTAGGGTTTATTTAAATTCGTTAGTTTTAGTTAAACGTTTTCATTTCATTTTAATTTTTGTAATTATCTGTCAAAAATTATTTGTTATTCTACCACAGATTAAATACGGGATCTGTCAAAATCTTTTACTGCCTATTATTAACAACTGATCTGTGGCTATTCTTCTTTACAAACTATTGTAAATTGGCTGCAAGAGTTATCTGATCTGGAACTAAATTATATATTTGTAAAAAAAACTTAAAATTAATGTTTATTACGTTGCGTTTAAAGCGAATGTTTTGGTTTGGTTTATTTTAGTTAGTTATCAACTATAAAAGTTGTAAAAAATGTGTTTTTCAAGACACACTTTACCTCATATCATTTACCAATCAATCTGGCAGGATTAAAAACGCAGAAATGAAACACAATACCTCTAAATTGTATATTTTTTTTATTATTTATTTCGATAATTGAAAACTATTAAATGAAAAAACACATACGAAATAGGTAAACCATCATAATTATTTTAAATCTAGAATAGTCCAATCTCTTGTCGACGATTGAAATAAATACGCGTCTCCCTTTTCCTTCTCTCTCTCCTCTGGCTTTCCTCCTCTCCGCTCCTAACTGTAAAGATCGTCCTCCGGATCGTCAAAGTTGGCCTGGTCACCGGGAGCGACCGGGGGCGGTACCGTGCCGCCCTGGCCGGGATTGGGGGCGCCGCCGCCGGCCGGAAACCGGAAGTTGGTACCGAAACCGCGAGACTGTTGCAACGTTTGCGCGAACATTTCGTACTTGCGGATGTCGTTGTCCGAGACTGATCGACGCGCGAAACGCATGGCCTCCTCGAAATGAGCGCGCGTGATTTCCGGCACAGGGTCGTCCTCGTCCAACTGAAAAAAAATTCAGGATTAACCCGACATAAAAAAAATATTTTTAAGGCAAACTCACGTCCATAGCTGCGGCGGCCGCGGGATTACTAGCCCTCTCCCTTTCCCTCCTGATCTCCGCCTCGATCGACTGTCTGATGGCCAGCTTGCACGCCCTCTGGCAGATCTCGGTCAAGTCGGCGCCGGAGAAGCCGTGCGTCACCTTGGCGATGTAGTTCATGTCCACGTCCTTGGCCACGGGGGATTTACGCAGGTTGGCCTTGAAGATGGCCTCCCTCGACTTCTCGTCGGGCAGCGGGATGTAGATCAGCTGGTCCAGACGGCCGGGTCTCAAGATGGCGGGATCGATAATATCTGAGGACGATAATAGCGTTACGGAAAAGGAAATTAGTATGAGATATGAGTATATTACCTGGTCGGTTTGTAGCTCCAATAATAAAGACGTTCTTCTTGGCGCCCATGCCGTCCATCTCCGTCAAAATCTGATTGATGACGCGGTCGGCCGCCCCACCGGCGTCTCCCACGTTTCCGCCTCTGGATTTGGCGATCGAGTCCAATTCGTCGAAGAACAGCACGCAAGGAGCGGCAGATCTGGCCTAATAAACGACAAAATTTTAAAAAATAATAAAAGCCTTAATAAAAAGCCATTTACCTTATCGAAAATATCTCTAACGTTTGCTTCAGACTCACCAAACCACATGGTGAGCAACTCGGGGCCTTTAACAGAGATGAAATTGGCCTGACACTCGTTGGCGATGGCTTTGGCCAGCAAAGTCTTACCACAACCCGGGGGACCATAGAATAGGACTCCTCTGGACGGTTGCATACCTGAAAAAAACATTAATAATATTAATTTTATTTTTAGACCTTTATTGGAAGGCGTTTTCACTCACCAAACTTGAGGAACTTATCGGGGTGTTCAACTGGGTACTGCACAAGTTCTTGTAATTCTTTCTTGACGTTTTGCAGGCCTCCGATGTCTTCCCACGTGACGTTGGGTACTTCCACCACCTAGACATGTTAAAAGAAATTTATATTATACACAGAATGTTCCTTAATGACATGCTAAATTTTAAGTTTACAATTCTTGGATCTATTCTAAGGAAAAAACTTAATATGAACGTATGTCCTAAACATACATACTTTTGAGTAAAATTTTCTAAGAAAAATATTTTCTTCCTTAATAACTTTGAAGTTATTATGAAAAAAAAACACCCTGTACAGAATCGCAGAAAAATTATTATAATACATAACATATTTGTAAAGATAAAAAATTAAAAAATATTTTTTCAAAAAAAGATCTATGACTTATAAACCTATATTTATTTTTTGTCAGGGCTAATAAAAATATTCAGAGTTAAAATCAATACTAAATTCAGAGTTAAATCAGAAAAATTCAGAAAAAATTCAGAGTTAAAATCAATACTAAAGTATTAAAAACCATTGCTGATTTTATAGTAGAGCCACTAAGTTACATATTCAACTTATGCATCGAGAAATCGACTTGGCCGGTAGCACTTAAATTAGCTGATATAGTTCCCATACATAAAAGTTCAAGTAAATCTATGGTATCTAACTACAGACCTATCTCTTTAATCTCGAATATTGCAAAATTTTTTGAAAAAATTGTTCATTCAAGAATTTATAAATTTATTATAAATTGTAATATTTTATCTAAAAAACAATTTGGTTTTATTAAAAGAATAGGAACTGCAGACGCTTTAAATCATATAACTAACATCATTTATAACAAATTAGACAAAAGCAAACCAGTATTAATAACTTTTTAGATCTGGCAAAAGCCTTTGACACGGTAGATCATGGTATATTATTGGATAAGCTTTCATGTATGGGAATTAGAGGCAAGGCCAATGAACTAATGAAAAGTTATCTTGAGCATAGAAAGCAGAGAGTTAAAATTAATGATTATATAAGCGAGAATAAAGATGTAACTATTGGAGTGCCTCAAGGAACTATCCTTGGGCCATTGATGTTTATTTTATATGTAAATGATTTATTAATTGGCATACAGGATGGTTGTATAATATCGTATGCAGATGATACTGCAATCATTGCTACTGAGGACACTTGGGAGCAAAGTATTAAAAAAATGAATGAACTACTAGATAAGGTTGCAAATTGGCTTGCACTTAATAAACTGTCTTTAAATATTGATAAGACTGTTTTCATGACTTTGGAAATTACTCAGATAGTGTTCCTAAATTAGTTGAAATAAAAATTAAAGACATATATGTAAAAGAGTTGATTGTTGTAAATATTTGGGTATTGTTTTTGACTCTAATGTAAAATGGGATAAACAAATTGAATATCTGATTAGCAAGACTAAATATTTAATTTTTGTTTTCTATAAACTAAGAAAATACATGGATGTTGAAATGCTTAGAACAATTTATTATGCCTTCTTTCAAAGTGTTATTAGTTATGGTATTATAGCATGGGGTGGTGCTTATGATAACTATTTTACGCTATTAAATACATTACAGAGAAGAATACTGAAAGTAATCAACAACAACTCTTTTGTAATAGACAAAAATCCATTAAGTATTGAACAAATTTATAACTTAGAAGCAATAACTTTTCACTATGAGATCTTAAAAAACAAATATATAAACTCCAAAAGTATTACAAGAAACAAAAACATAATTATACCAAAAATAGCAAAAGAATAAGTGATAAAGACAGTTACATTAAAGCGATAAAATTTTCAATCTCTTACCAACTGAATTGAAAAATTTAACAGTGGAAAAAGAAAATTTGAAGAGAACTATCAGGTTTTGGCTAAAGCGGAATACTGATCGCCTGTAGCTTAAGTTATAAGTAATTGATCTTTATTTTTGTTTGTATTTATATTTATTTTTGTTTCATACTTCTTAGTTTTTTAGTTTTTAGTTGTTAATTTTTTAAGTTAAACCGGTCCGCGTACAGAACTCTGTCTCTCTGCGGTTTATCATGTATTTCTACATTGTAAATTAACTGGTATTAATAAATAAATAAATAAATAAATAAAAATCAAAGATTAAAAGACCCTTTTATGACACATATTAAAAAGAATGGTATTAAATGTAATAGGAACGTTTTTTATTTGTTTAGTATTAAATGTATTTATGTGTCTATTTTATACCTGCATTTACAGACAATTCTGTTTATACCAGCATATAAATAGATTAAATAAATAAAGGAGAAAAATAAATAAATAAAATAAAAGCTTACCGTTTCTCTCAAGGCGCTGGGACTGCTCTTCGTCATGGCGTAGCGGAAGTTCTCCATCGTCACCGCCAAACTGTTCAGCACCTCCGCATCGATTTGATCGTCCTCCAAGTCGATCAGATCCATCTTTTCCCTGATCTGCTGAAGCGCGGCCTCGGAACAAAGCGACGCCAAATCGGCCCCGACGTGCCCGTGAGTCTCCGCAGCGATCTGTTCCAAATCCACGTCATCGGCCAACTTCATGTTCTTCGTGTGGATTCGCAAGATCTCCAGTCTTCCTGTAGCGTCCGGGATACCGATATCTATCTCCCTATCGAACCGTCCAAAGCGTCTCAAAGCCGCGTCGATGGAATTAGGTCTGTTCGTAGCTGCCATGACAATAACATGGGAGGATTTCTTCATACCATCCATCAGGGTTAACAGCTGAGACACGATACGTCTCTCGACCTCGCCGTGGGTTTTTTCTCTCTTTGGAGCAATGGCGTCCAGTTCATCGATGAAAATGATAGCCGGAGAATTCTTGTCGGCTTCCTCAAAGGCCTTTCTCAGGTTACTTTCCGACTCGCCAGCGAGTTTGCTCATGATTTCGGGCCCGTTGATCAGGAAGAAGAAAGCGCCGGTTTCGTTGGCTACGGCTCGGGCAATGAGGGTCTTTCCTGTGCCGGGAGGGCCGTACAAGAGGATGCCACGCGGCGGTTTCACGCCGATGGCTTTGAAGAGGGATGGGTGACGTAGGGGCAGTTCAACCATTTCTTTGATTTGGGCCAGTTGCTTGCGACAGCCTCCGATGTCGTCGTAGCCCACAGCGTTCAGAGCTTCCTCCTCCTCCTGTGGATATCAGAAATTAGTTTAAGAAATAATGATTGATATAAAGAAACAATAAAGATGCTTAATATTTAACTTAATATTTATTTTCTTTTTGTATATTTCAATAATGATTCTAATAATTTTGATATTACTAATGTTAAAATGTATTTTTGTATACTTATCAGAGATCTTAAATAAAATAATACTGGTATTTTTACAACAAACTTACCTCACGTTTAATTGGATCTCCATCGCAATGAATCACTGTATCTGGGGCTACAATACAATACGGAGCAGGATCAGTTTCCACCACTTTGAATTCTACAGCTCTCATACCACCCCGTACAATAAACACGTCGTCTTTGTGAATGGGCCTGTAGGCCTCCAAGAAGTATGGCTTTAAGTACACTTCAAAAAGATTCCTGTAAAAAATAAACAGTTATATTTGGAAAGGCCATAATTAAACTTTGATTCAAACAGGTAACTTACCCAGTGAGACCTTCAACGGTGTCATCAATAGGAAGTACATGTATTCTTTTACCGTATTTCACATCGGGACATGGTTGAACTGAAACAACATCTGACAGCCTCACTCTGAGATTATTCCTCACATTTCTGTTCATTCTGATTTTTTCGTCGCTGCAAGAATCATCCGAGAGCACTATACAGACGGTTTCCTTGCGCCTCTTGCCTTTGAGGAGAACGGTGTCCCCCCTGAAAAGCTGTAGCTCGTCCATTTTTCCTTGAGATAGGGCCACAACGGAATTGTCATCATTGACAGCTTCCTCTACAATTAGCCTGTTTGGTCTGTCCTTCTTGCGAAGGATCGCCGTAGCTAGATCTTCCGGACTGATATGATAAGAAAAAAATTTTATAAATATTTTTTAAATTATAAATCTGATAAGTCAAAAGGCAAAATGGCCGATAGCTATTAAAATATTTTGTTAGGCTCAGCGTCCCAGTTTAGAATTGAAAACGTACTAATTTGTAAGCGATTTATTAATAGATTAGGGAAAAAATAAGTTTTTGATAAAATGGCAACAGGAAGTTTAATTAAATTGTTGCCGGTACAAATGAGGTGTACTTACTTTTGTTGATCGGCCATTGCACACGGTTTTAAAGCACTCTAATTTAAACGGGAATTAATCGTTAGTGTCTGGGTATGAGGGTATTCCTCTACAATACAAAGCACAACCAAATCTACACCGAATATACTACTAAAACGAAAATTTCTCTAACTCAATGACGTAGCTTTTTCTGGCTGGATGATGGTTCGGATTTCAGCATTTACAGTTTGACAGATGACGATAAAAACACATGAATCGGCAATAATATGCCGATAAAAACGAATTCCATTTTATCGACTCAGTGTTCTTCTTCTATTTTTTAAATAAATAATGACTTAAAAGCCTAAGCTACTAGGACTATCCGGCCAATTAATCGAGTTCTACTCTCGGTTGAGTATTAATGAATGCCGAAACAGATCCGCACGCCTGCTTATAAAACATTAACACATACCTTGTTTGATGACAACTCGTTGTTAAAGCTAATTACTGTATAAAAGACAAGCAACTATCATATTCCCGTTAGCCCTAGCAAGTGTCGCCAAAAACAAAAGAACCTGATCATATTCTTGTTATCACGTGACTTCGACATACTCAGAAAAAATCTGACAGCAGAAACAGAAACGTCAGATCTGACGTTTACTCATATTTTGACAAGTAAATTTTTCATTTGTGTTTACATTTTTCTTAAAAATTTACGGTTTAAAATAATGTTATATATGCCACCTAGTTAAACAGCAAATTTACAAAAATAGTCCTGACAATTTTCAGATTGTTCCAAAAATTAACTTGGCAGAATGGCAGGAATAAAATGTGAGTGCGAAAATCTGTACTAAAAATCAATCTTGGTAGTGATTCATACTTTCTGGCAAATTTGATGTGAATTTCTATTTGTATTTAGATTAATTAGATAGGGAATATATGTGTTTTCTTACTGTATTATGTGATATATTAATTAACATTTATTTTTCTTTTTTTTTCATGTTATTTTCTTCACTATGCCCCAATATGCAGCGTAAGTACAAAATCAATTTTTCTTATAAACAAGATATTCTAGTGTTTGTTTTTTAGGCTTGTGACTCTTGCTTTTACTGGTTCTATAGGGATGGCTTTTGTTATTATGGCCTGTGCCCTTCCCAAATACGCGTAAGTACTTAACTTTTACTATGTTTTACAGTTTTTACTTGTATGTTAACATATTTTCAGACTTTGGTGGCCTTTTTTCGTGGTTCTTTTCTACATATTGGCTCCAATTCCAACACTTATCGCACGTAGATATTCCGATCATTCAGGTTCAAGCAATTCTTGCTTGGAATCAGCCATATTCATTACCGTAGGCATTCTGGTATGTTCATTTGCACTGCCTATAGTCTTAGCTCGTGGAGATGTAATCCAGTGGGGCTCTTGTTACCTCACATTGGTGGGAAATGTTATAGTGTACGGCACACTGATCGGCTTCTTTCTGGCTTTTGAGGCAGACGATTCTGATTATAATATGTGGTGAGATGGTGTATGTGCTAGTTAGATTTTGAGAAAGATGCTCAGCATTTAGAGCAAAGGTCACAGAGACAGACAATACACTTATTATTTATTCATGGTTTTAACAAAAAAATAAATAGCAAGTTATATGTGATTTTACTAAGTTCTAATCTTAACAAAATAAGGTTAATTCTCGCATTGGAATCTGATTTTTGTTGACTGTATTTACATGTATTAATACAATATATTTTACGATAAGGTTTAGTTGGTTTTATTTTTGCAATAAAAGACATTGGATTATACTTTACAATATCCTTTTTATTTCTATTCCATAGTTAGGTATGTTACACGACAATGAAAACGAAAGTTTTTTAAATATATGATTCAATAAATAGGATTTTTCTGTTTGTTCGGTTCTGGTTAAATTCAGTTTGCGATCTTAACAATTATATAAGGGGGATTTACAAGTTTTTCGACTTAAAATCTACTTACGACTAGAATAGAATTGGCATTTTTCGACATAATTTTACATAACTACATCTCTTTATTAGAATAATAACAATTTCTAATAAGGAAAATTGAATTTATTTTAAATTTACGCCTGGTTCATTTGAACTACTGATGATTCAATTATTAGCGTATAGATGGCGCGCCAGTCTTCAATTTTTCTAAAATAAGGCGCGTTTTTGAATAAACCAATTTTTTTCTTGGTTTTTCTCTTTTTCCTTACTAGAAATCAACGAGGACAAATTATATAAACGTTTGCCGTTTGTGTTGGATAATTTTGTCGCCGTTTCATCTTTCGGGCGTTTCAAAATTGGAAAAATCGGTCAAAGGTGTTTTTATGTTACGACCAGCGTAAATACCCCAAAAACAATCTTTTTGACTCTTATTTTACCTATTTTGAGAAATCTCTTCGATATTATAACAAGCTGTACGACTCTTTACTCTTTACAGCGCATTATATGTATATTTGAAGTAGTTTATTGAGTTATTGATAAAAATGGCTAAAAACGAGTCTTTGATAGAAAAAGATGTAATAAAATATTAATTTCTTAAAGATTCATCCTTGTTTTTGGTTATGATTGAGATAATATACAGTGTGATTGAATAAGAAATAATATCTCTATGCAAACTTCTGTACTCGGTTCTATATTTTTTATTTGATTATATTGCGTATTGATCTACCAATTTTTATAACTTAGTTATTGATTGTTCCCAGTTTATAAGTTTTTCTTAACGGAAAAAAGAAAAAAATGTATGAAAGACGATAAAGATATAGTAAAAAATAGGCTGCTTGAAGAAATATTTTGTTTATATAACTTTCTGAAACAATATAGATATTTGTTTTTCTTCAAATACACACATAATTCTATTACTTTCAGGACATTTTACCGTATTTAATCGATGTGTTACATATATACCCTATAAAAAAAATAGCTAGAGGCTCACTGGTCCGCTATCCCCATTTGAGTCCCTTAATTTTTTCATCAAAATTGTTTCATCTTCCTCCATTTTTTTGGTCGAATAACATTAAATTTTTCCTGTATTTTACCGTTACACTACTTGTCATCTGGCAACTGCCACGTTTCGCCTTTGTTTCGCTCGTCACCATACACTTCGTCCTGTACAGCAGTACCTTGAACACCAGGACCGTTCAGTTGGAGTGTGATTATGTCACGATGGTCCTCCAACGCTAGCATCACGTGAAATCCATTAGATGTCAACTCGCAAGCTGTGATCTTGGTTTTGGGCGTGTAAACTGCCAGTAAATCACCCTTATTGACGTCCCAAAGCCTGATGGACCTGTCCCGGCATTCGGAGTCCACGGAGAGGCACAGGGCTCCGGTAGGGTCCAGTTTGAGGCTGCAGACAGGCGCGGTGTGACCACTTAACGAGAATCGACAGTTACCTGAAAGAAAAAAAAATATGTTGGCTTCAGTAAAAGCAGCAAAATCCGTATCTAGACTTTTTACATGATCTAACGTCCTTACCTGTAATGAGGTCCCAAACCAGGATCCTGGCATCTTCCAGGCCGGATATAACGCATCCACCTCGCGAACTGATCTCCAAAGAGACGGTATCGCATGAGGGTTTCCATTTTTTGAATAAGGTACCGCTTTGGAGGTCGTACACTACTATAAAGTTGGGGCTTTCGTCGTCGATCTCTCTGCAGACGCAGCAAACGTAGTTGCCCTCGAAGGTGATGGCACTCAATGCTGTGACGAAGTCGTGGTGGGGAATCCTCAGATCGTAGAGCAGTTTCTTGGATTTGAGGTTCCAAACTAAGAGAGGGAACGGTTTCTGGGTTTCATCGCCGCAAACCAACACTCTGAAACATTAAATCGATGAGAAAATATAAAAATTAATTAAGAAATTATGTTTTTTCCCACCTGCCATCCCCCGAAACCAGCAGGGAATTTAAGAATCGGTCTTCGCCGGCCTTGAAAGTCGTCACCAGGTCTCCGCTTTCCAAATTCATCAAATTTATGTACATGCGATTCCTGCTCAACGCCACAAGGTGCCTGTCGTCGTGCAACCCGTAAAAGGGCATCTTCTGGTTCATCACCCCTTTGAGTTTCGTCACGAAAGTACCGCTGTCCAAGTTGTAGATGCGCAGCTCTCTCCTGCACAGCACTATGCACTTGAACTCGTCGATGGGGATCAGATTTATTGGATGGGGTATCCCATTCAGGGTTCTTATTGGCTTACAACTGAAAAAATCGTTTTTTTTTTAATATTTATCAGCTACTTAACTAAACAAACTTACTCTACAATGTCCCAAACGCATATTCTCTCTTGCTCAGTAGAAACAGTCACAATAAACCTGTTTGAATTCGGAATTCGTACTAACAAATCAAAAACGGGCTTTCTCTGTACTTCCTTGGTCTCATCCAGATGCAAGTCCATTGCTTCGACGTTGAGGGGTATCAAAGACGTTACAGGAGGCTCAAAACACTTGGCAAAAGCTTCTTTAAGCACTCCATCAGTCAGAGGACGTTTTTTGGCGAAACCAAACAGTTGGGAGTAGAACTGTCTTCCATCGTAGTTCAGAGAGCTTGCATGGTGTTCTAGGAAGTACCGCAGTTGTGCTACCGAAGGATTTAGCTTCGTACCGATTAAACTGATGTCTTCCAGAAGTTGAAACACGCTGGAACCGCATAGTTTGTCGTAGATCCAGGATATATCGTTAAGATATGGAGATGTTTCTAGATTTCGTCCCAAGTGGTGATGGTGGAAGGGTAGTTCGTCCAGTTTCCGACGATTGTAGCTAAAAAAATCATTTTTTTGTGCTCAGAAATTCAGATACATTTATATTTTATCAAAATTCACTTACCAGCTTATGGGAAAAACTATGTACAACGCGCGTGAATTCATATTATCATTGCCAACCCAAAATACATACTACACAAAAAACCAAGTCAAACAAACTTAAATGATGGATATATAGAGTCAAACGGAAGTGGAATGGAGCGGTAGAAAACTAAAAAACATCGAGAGATCTCAAAATTTATCCTCAAAGATCAAACTGACAAGTTTTTCTGCACAAATTCGAGAATAAATTTCAAAAAAGCTCCGATAAAATATAAAATGAAAAAAAAAATGGTCTCAAAGCAGTCTATTTTTATTATCTTTAGTATGTACACATGCAAGAGTAACAGAAAAAAATGTAAGAAAAAAACAACTATATACAAACTGATAGTGAAAAAAAGGAATTTAAAAAGTGTTACTGAAACATCCAGGCATACTGGCACTCCATACCATTTTCCTAGGTTGGTGTCCTGGTTCACTAGACGTGCTTGAAGATTTGCTGGAGGGTACTTGTACCATTTACCCTACATAAAACAATCTTTTTTCCCTTTTTATTGATATAAAAAAAATGGCCTTACATCATAGTAGTCGAAGAGAGCTTGGTGTGCCCATTTGCTGAAACTTGCATATCTGTTGGCCACCGCTTTCCTCAGAAGGTCATCTTTCCACTGGACACCTAGGACTCCTCCGGTGAGGGACCACATAAGAAAGGGGGCCAGATGTTTGACTAGTCTGGGCCAAGCTAAACAAGCTGGTGCCCAAGTCACTGTAGGAATATTTCACTTAGCTTTTGACCATTTTTTTTATTGATGTTTGACTCACCATAAGTGGTAGCGCTTCGAAAATTATCATCCAGGGCCAGCAAATCTAGCATTTCTGAGTCAGTAACGCCGTGTTTACTGCTGAATATCAGTGCTAATGCTCTTTGAACCTGAGGAGAACCTACTATACTTTCCAATTCCTCAAGTAAAAAGTCTAGTTGTTCGCTGAGTCGACCTTTGGGCTTAATTTCGTGATATTTGTCCGCCCACCAAGACGTCTGCCACGCTAAAACCTTCGAATAGGGATGTTTAAACGTATCGATTTTTAAAATATACCCATCCTTACCTTCGAATACAATGGTACGGTACATTCCTGCACCGACTTGAGTACGCAGTCTTGAATCTCCGAATTGACGCTATGATTGTACTGCATGACGCTGGACATGAGGATATTCTTGGCTTCGATCTGTCCAAGAGGTGGCATGAAGGTAAAACAGCCTTCCCCAAGCCTCTTTTTCAATTCCTGGTGCATGGTACTGTTCTCCGCCACAGACACTATTAACTTGATGTTATCCGGTAGCTTGGGCGGTACCCATTGAAGTGTCGTAGAGCTGTATTCTCTCACTTGGTCCAAACCGTCCAGGATGATGATTAGTGGACGTTGTACGCTGCTAGCGGCTAGTAAATTGGGTAGTACCTTTTGGTAGTCCTCCATTGTCTAGAAAAATAATTATAAATATCTCTCAAACACACTAATGTGTTATACTTACGTGATTACAGTGACATTTGTGACCGTATGCTAATATAGAACACTGATCAGTTACTGAACTCAGCAATTGCTCTATGCTGTTAGACTGTGCGCTGATTCCCACAAAGCGAAGTACCAAAAAAGCTTCAGGTAAGCGACCCGGGAAATGAGCTGCTACCCTGGCCAAAAGTGTCGTTTTTCCACAACCATTCGGTCCTACCAAAACCAGAGGACTTGTACCGCCTCCAGCCAAGTACCGGTGCACGTCCTCTATAGTTTTCTCTCTGTTAATACTGCACTGTGCCGCTTTTTGACAGAAGTACGTCTGTTGATTGAGTTCCTCGAACAAGCCGGCTTCTATGCCGAAACTGGGCTTGATCATGCTCTTGGCCGCGTGTTCTTCAACGATGCCGTCGATGGTGTCCTTCAGGTGCTTCTGAAGGTGCGTAGTGACCGTGCTGACGTAATCCTTGTGCTCGGGCAGGTCAGGATTGAGTCCGGAGTCGGAGTACTTCACCTGGATGCGTACGATGTGCTTTTCCGTTAGTTGATCCTGCGGGTAGTCACAGAAACTAATTAATGAATATCGTAGCCCTTAGATGACGCCACCCTCAAAACCATGTTGGTTTCGAAGTAATATGACTTCAAATTTGGTCTAGAGTTGTTACGATGCTCTAAGGTTTAAAACTGATAGGGAAAATGAGCATGAACACAAAAAAAAATTCTTAATTTTTATCAAGACGATGAAACAGAAAATAAAATTAAAATTACCCGTAAGTCCTTCTGTAGAATATTTAACCTTCTGTGAGCTTCCTCCTCGCCAGGACTAGGATTCTCGGGTGTTTTTGGAGTCGGAGTATACACCCGGTTCATCCAGATACATCTCTTGGCCATTTCCTGGCTCATAAACACTGTATTGTGCACTTCCTGTTCAACTACAGTGGTTAAATACGTATCCTTCAATTCAGTGGAGAACACGCCAATCAGTACCGTGAGCATCTTGTCGATTTCGTGAGCCCACTCCTCGAAGGCTTTTTCCCTGTCTTCCAGACTACTCTCGCTAAATCCAGGGATGTGACAGGAGATGGGTCTCAACCTGTAGCAAGGAGGTTGTGCGTCACCGTCCAAAGCGTACCATTTTCTCAGTAGAGCTTGTGCCGTTTGGTTTTCGGTACTGTCCAGCGCCATTTTGAAGTCTGCAGTTTCCACCGTGATTGGTAGCAGTTGAGTACCGAGGGAGTTGTTGAGGAACAGTACTGGGATGACGTAAGCCACTTCCATTTGGCCTAGAAACAAACAAAATGTAATACTGAGTTAATTTTAATGTTAAAATGTTTGAAATATTCTCAGAAATATGGGTTTCAATGACAGTACTTACGAGTAAGTTCCCCAATACAGAGTTCTGGAAATTCGTGGTCCTGTTGTTTTTCCAAGGCTGTTTTCCAGTGTAGATCAACAATGTGGAGTTCGTAGCCTCTGGATCTACAGTGCTGCCGTAGATAGGGGTAGACTACGTTGTGCAAAGCGCCTTTTTCTACTACACAATCTAAAAAATATTACAAAAATACTTAATTTTATTATTTATTTTTAAATTTCTACACTTTTGATCAACGTTTTCTGTATCAAATATATTGAAATGACCTCAAATAAACTAGCCTTATTTTTTTTACGAATTCACGCATCCAGGTTTAGATTATCCATAAAAATGTCATCGACTGAAACCGTTTGAAATAATATATTTCAGGAAGAACCTCATATACAGGGTGTCAAAAAAATAGTATATCTAACTTTAGTGAGTAATTCTGCAGATAAAAATAAAACAAAAAGTTCCTATGAATATATATGCCCTAAAATGCTTCCGAAGAAGTTATAGCATAGCACCCGAAAAAAAAAACGAATAATATATTTTTTTTTATATTCCTTTACCTTGAGAGTCTGCAGCACAAACGTATATAACGATTTTCCTCGACCTCAACGACGTTTTTGCATGCGCCACTCTCCCCATCACCAGGTGCTGCAAGTTTTCACCTAAACATCCCACCTCCTTGGGCACGTCCTCGGCCAGCCTGTCAAACTCTTTGGGACTCACAGGAGACGCCAGAGACATGGAATCTGGGCCTTTCATGATCTTGGCCAGCGTGGGATTCTTCAAGTCCGAACCGGGGACTCCTGGAGGGCCCACATGCTGAAGAGGTTGCTGTCCAGCAGTGCTAGGTTCCAGAATTACACCGCTGTGTGTTGCTGTAACGTGGTTTAGTAGAGTTTGTTGTTTTTCCGACGGTATGGAGGCACGTACTTGGTAACTGGCCGATCTAGGGAAAGATATTACATAGTTTGGATAGGGGGGTTCTAATCCTTAATGGAAAGTATGCAGATAGTTATAAAAATTAACAGCAAGAGTTTTTTTTAATCCTCTCCATTTGTGTGGTTTTTAAAATTATTTGTCGCAAAATTATGGTAATGCCCCCTCAGAGAGATAAACACACACAGCGTCATCTCTACTCGCAATGACGTCATTGCGAGGTCGAGGGACGCTGTATCCCGACCCTCTTGACCCAATTTCGGGATAAGGGACGGCCTTGAATATCTGGAGCGCCTTGCCTGGACCAACGGCACCTGTTTTGCCAGGAAGATCCAGGATTATCTTTAGGATTTCAGGTGTTTGGACAATTATCAAGTTCTTTTTTTAAAAGTAATGTTTTGCTTTGCTGAAAATGATTCAAGTTGTATAAAAATAAGTATACGATAAATGTTTTAGTGTTTTAAATTCGGCTAGACTACTAGAAATTTTGAAGAACTGGAAGCTTTCTGTAACTTAATTTTTTTATATAAGTTTGAAAATTTTTATAGTATATAGCTTTAAATTCCTTGTCAAAAAGTTACTGTTTTTAATTTTATCAAAGATTTAAATAAAATATTCCATTTTAAAAGGAACAAATATAAACATATACACTATTTCAACACTAGGACTAAAGACTTACTCTTCAGACCTCTGCGACATGTTATCCTTATCTTTATGGCCCTGTCCGCTGCTACAAGAGTTTCCCATGGTGATGGTACCCAAGTCTTTACAGTATATCCTTCAAAAACTACACTTCCTACAGCAGGGGGACCTTGATGAGGTTATCCCTTACCCTATTTCGACTGGGCGGTGTTTTCACAAAGTCCTTGTTCATCTTACCGTCTTATATTTGTTTCACATTACAGTAATATACTCGTTTTCTTTGAACTAATCAACACTTTGCGAGTAGTCTTTTCGAAGATCGCGTACTTGGGTCACTTATTTCTTGATTTAGAAGTACGAATCTTATCGACACTGACCGGGTTTTGAAAGGGGGGCTTCTGGAAAGAGGTACTGCCCGTCGACGGAGGTTTTCTAGTGTACGAAATAGTGTTTTCGAGCGGTTTCGGTTGGTTCAAAGTGCGACGCGCCAGCTTATGGATCGAGCACGGTCGCGTTTATAAATATTTTTCGGTTTCCTCGGTCTGGCATGGTGGTGTGACGTCAGTGCGCGTCGCGACGGTGGTCAGGGCGATCGATCGCGGGAGGCGACGGCGGCGGCGACGGTGCCAGGTCTTTCCCTAATTTGGGGAAAATATTTCAAAAAAAAATCTCAACGGTTTCGCGCGGTTTATCTTTATCGGGACGATTTTTTGACGTTGCGTCGTTGAATTTCAAATTATAAGCGACGTTGTCGGATCTTTTTTCTAATTTTGTTTGATATTTTTGAGATTTTTCATAAACATTTATTTTACTAGTGTTCTTTAGCTTTAATCTACTGAGGTGTCCATTTGGGAGGCAGTGTTCCTACTTAAATCAAGGAACATCTTCGAAAACATCGATAGTTTACTATCGATATTATTCAAAAGTTTGATAGTTTACTAGGGATTTATTAAAATAGCTGTATTTTTTAAAAGAAACAATAGGGAAATGTCCATATTTTAAGTCATAAATAGTTTACTATCGATATTTTAAAAATGTCGATATGTTACTATCGATTTTTATAAAGTATCGATATTTTACTATCGATAATTTTAAAATATCGATAGCAAACTATCGATATTTTTTGAAAAAAGTTTGTACTTGTGTAGAAAAAAAAATATTGTTGTATAAGGATTTAAAAGGACAGGGTAACAAAACACTTATTATCGTAGAAATAATTATATTTTGCATATCTGTACACAACAATGTTCACTTAAAACTACAAACTTACGTATATAAAATACTAAAAATATATTAAATAATACATTAACGATAAAATTTGTAATAAATAATAACTCGAGCTGGATCCACACTACAACTTTCATTCTTATTAAATCATTATTTTTATATAAATAAGTTTTTACAATCTCATATTTGGATGTAGCATACAATATAGACAGCAGAATGAGAGTAAATGAAAGATTTTGAAATTTATTCTCTGCGAGAAGACGAAACAAAGAGTGAAAGAAATACAAGACTAGATAATTTAAACTTTACAAACTATATAGTTTTTTTACTTAAGTTTTTAATTTAAAACAGTCTATTTACATCTCTTATTTAAATGCAAACATTATACAAAGACAAAGAACACTGAACGAATTCCAAACACTGTTTGCTTAGAATTTGTTTAGTGTTAATACAGAATCATTTGTACCACCAGAAAAAAAAACAAAGTACATAATTATTTTTTTTTATCTCAGAATAACGTTTTCTAAGAAATCCTTTCCTTCGCGACTAGTCGAATGGTTCCTTTTGAACGGGTTCCAATTCAGTTTTGCCCCAGAGACTAACAACCCCGCTTTGGAACCGTTGTGTTGCGTCACAGATCCCGCGGGACTGGACATACAACTGGACGATCCACTGCTACTCCTAGTGGACACAGATCCCTTTCCCGATTTGCCAGACTTCAGGAAATTCCGATCCATCGGCGTGACCAGTTTCAACACCAAAGAATCGCCTGCACTTTTGATCAGAGCAACCGCTTCTTCGTGCGAAGCCCATTTGACGTCTTTTTCTCCAATGGCAACGACAAAATCGCCTTCTTTGACTCCACCAAACTCAGAAAGGGATCCTGGTTCCACCACGGCGACCACAACTGGTGCATCTCCTCTGACTGAGAAGCCAAAACCTTCATCTGGTCGGTTTCTTCTCAATTGGACTACACGAGGTGCTGACCAGTGTCTTTTGGCCGAGAATATCGCTATGGGGCCCAGCGAGCGAAACAGATCTGTGACTCGGTATTGAGCAAAGTCTGGTGCAGTTAGAGACAGCTGGAACTTCGTAGAAGCTGTAAAATAATAGTAATCAAGTAATCAACAGAATAAAGAGACAAAAACTTCTTACGTTGTATTCCCGGTGGATCCAGCATATCACTGAAATCATCTTCAGTCTCCGTGGCAGTGTAAGCGTGCAATGCCCTTTTGTGAGCGTTCCTCAGCACAGCTGCGAGTGCATGCTTACCCCGGAGTTCCCTGCACATGCGATGCTGCCTCTGGCATTCTTCCTGCAGTACTAGAGCCTCTCTAAGGTGTGCCCTGCCCAAAGTTCTTCGTTCGTGTTCCTCTTGAGGCGTGTTTATCTCTAGCTGGGTAGAGTCGCTCTGCGTATGCAGGAATTGGAGTACTTCTTTGGTGGTCGGTGACATATGGGAGGATTCTGGGTGAAGAATACCTGTGGCAGCGTGGCAATGAGCTTGACCAGTGTAGAACTCCCTTTTCACTTGGGTGAGAGAGATCCAACTATACAAAAAATTATATTGAAATCTTGAATTAAATATCTTTCATAGTACTTTACCTGTAAGGTACGTAATCATGTACAGCTTCGTGGGAAATTAAATCATGAACATGTCCATAGCACTCAGCTAATTCCGCAGCTTCCTGAGCTAGATCCAGACAAATATCTATCGTCCTGTTCTCCTCAGACTGAAGTTGAAGTTTCTCCAAGAGACACTCTCGAGCTTGGGCCAACATCAACTGGACCAACATCTCCAGAATCTCTGGACCCAAGTCCATAGAAGGAGCGTTGGTAAAGTTTTCGTGGATATACCTAAAAGTACCTATAAACAACCAGAATTAATAAAATACTGCATAGAAAATATTTTTCGAAAATATATGGATATTTGTTTTACCTGCTGCACGAAGGAAGTTATCCACGGCTGCATCCAGTCCTTTTGCAGTCGATCTATCTTGCTTGGCACCTATTTGGGTGTAGATAGCACCCATGTTGAACAGGACGCAAGCTTTTTCGAAAGCTACAGTCCGTTGACAAGATGGTACTCCTAAAATACATCTTTTTAGACAAAAAACTTTGGAAACCAAACTCTGTTCTGCATTAGTTTGGTAGTACTTACCAGTTAAAGAGTCAAACCACTCGAAATATATTCCTAGTGACCTATCTGGTGGAAAAAACCGCCTTTCGACATAGTAAAGTTGATTGTAGTATCGAAAAAGTAGTCCTAAAAACGATTTAAAACAAAATTAACCCATGAAAAATATTATTACAAAATTCGTACCTATTCCGGTAGTATCGCGTAGAGGTGTCCTCATGGCTTGCCTCGTGTCCATAAAGTCAGCTATGGCGTCTTCGTAGGCATCGGAGTCTTCGCTGTAATGTTCTAAGATGAAGTCTTTGAAGGGGTCCCTAAAATCGATTTCTTTGGTTTCTTTCAAGCCTAGAGGTATCATGGGCATCACCGCATTTGTACTAAAACAACGTTAAAATAATAATTAGTACAGATTTTGTTCCATTTAGCAGGAGGGGATTCTTTATTCAAGGATAAGACTATAAGAAAATTAAAAATTTGTCGAATCAAAATGGCCAACCCTGTAGATAGAAACATTTTACATAAAAGTAGGAACGATATTGATTATTAAATAATAAAAAAGCAGTTATATCATATGGTAAACGACATGTGTTCTTCAGCATCCTATTAAATGTTCTTAGCGCTGTTTCAACAAACGTAAACTCAGTCTAATTGAATGGAAATCTAAGAAGAGTCTAAAAAAAACAGTTAACAGTTTTTAATCGTTAGTAGTTCGCGTGTTGTCTCACTATATCCATGCGAACCTGGCTTAAGCATTAGGGATGTGTGTAAATTATCGATATTTAAAAATAACGTATTGATATATTATTTGGAGAGCTATTAATGGACCTCGTGACGGAAAAAAATAAAGAAAGCGCTTTTATAGCAGACCAACTTAAAAGACAAATGTATATTACTATGAAAAGTGTTAATATTACAAAGTTTTAAACAAAAAATGAAATAAACGATACCAACAAATATTTTAGAAACGCTCTAGGTTTATTTATTTCTCTGACATCTGAATAGATTGCAAAAGTATCGTATTTTAATATATCGATACCTTTTGCACCTTCCTACGTCGAACAGATGCGTTCGTTGCAAGGAGACTCTTTGGCTGGTCTCCAAGAAGTGGGACAAAGCCAATGGGTCGCAATGGGGACCCCCGAGGCTTCCTAAGAGATATTTCCGAGCGTTTATGTCTTTCTCTTCGTATTTGTGTATATTAAATACTATGCCAGGAATTTGGGCAGAGAGGGGGCACTGAATTTATTGATAAAGTTATTTGAATTCGATGAAAAGCAAACATAAACGTATTCCAATTAAATTGAGTTGATGAATCCTCAAACCAGATATTTTTTTCATAAAAAAGTATGATCAAATGTTTATTTTAATTATGTTACATTCCAAATAATTGCTGTTATTTTTATGAGCTTTTAAACTTTCTTTGCAATAGAAATTTTTTGAAATGTGTCATATTTCGCAAAAGAAAAAATGATAAACAATTTCTATCAATAATGTTTTGAACAAATAAAATATTAGCAATAAATATTTTTAAATAATACAGGTACAAAGTTTACTTTGTTGTAATATACCGGGTGGTGTATCGGCGTTGGAAACATAGGAGTCTTAAGTATGCTGAATCCACATGCCAAATTTCAACAATTTTGGACAAGTCCATTTTAAGTAATTTAAGAAAAACTGCATTTTTATTTTTGCATTATTCTGCAACGAACCACCCGGTATAAACACTGTAACATTACAGTCAATAGTATTTTTTTTATTTGAAAAATAAGTATCACAATAAGCAAAATTGTTATGTTATAAAAATTAATATACAGGGTTGTTCACCACATACGACACGGAGTACTGTAGCTAAACAATTAGATTTTTACAAATTGTATGTTTTGGGTTCGTTGAAGGACTATTAGAGGTACAATTTAAAAATTATTTTACAAGATACAGAGTGTCCCAAATAAGTAAAAAATATTATAGTTGTGTTTTTTTTAAATGGAACACCCTGTATATTATTCTATTTTTAGATTCTACGGTTGAAATAAAGGTAAATTTGATTAAGGTTTATCACACTTAAACCTTACCGTTTTTGAAATAGTTTCAATTTTGTGAAATTTCAGTAAAAAAATTAAGGCTTCATTTCTCGAAAGATATTAAAGGTTTTAATACTAAATATTTACTGAAGTTTATTTATTGATCAGATATTGTGTTCGAATAATAAAAATTATACTACCTTATACAGAGTGTCCAAAAATTTATATTAAATAATTACTAGCTTTAAACGGCAATAAGTTGTTTAATTTAAATGGAACACCCTGTATATTTTACGAGAATCAGATGCACAATTTAATTGTCTATCAAAATGTATTATATCATTTTTGCCTATCTCTTCAAGTTTTCATAGAAAATGCATTTTCTTATCATTTAGACCTGATTTATCACTATACCTATGGAATATTGACATTTTAGATTATTTTTAAAGATATATATATATATATATATATATATATATAATAAAATATAAAGATATATATAATTCGTTTATTTCATTAAAAAATAAAAAAAAAACTGTTTAAATATTTGTTAAAGAGGACCAATTAATATGATCCCACTATGCAAACTACATTAATTGACCGTTTACGTTGATTAATAATAATTGCTCCAAATACTAAAAAAAATGAATTTTGTATGTATATTTATATTATTGTATTAGACAGTGTGATAAAAAGTAACACCTTATAAATTTTATTTAATTTTTTGACAAATGCTTATTTATAACAACAGAGACGTTCATTTTCATAACTTATTATTGTATTGATTTCTGAGTCAAATCCACATTTATTTAGAATCATTTATTTATTAATTAAAACAATTAAGTATGTAATTAACTAATTTTTGGGCGGAAATAATGGTGGTATATTAATAATAAGTAATAATTGGTATACTCTTTTACAAAGATTTAAATAGTTTTCTTTTTGTAAACAAATGAGCTTGTAATATTATTATTTTTACCACTTGTATATTTTGTAAATATGTTGATGTAAAAGAATCTAAAATGTCAATATTCCATGGGTATAGTGATAAATGAGGTCTAAATTATAAGAAAATGCATTTTCTACGAAAACTTGAAGATATAGGTAAAGGATGATATAATACATTTTGATAGACAATTAAATTATGCATCTGATTCTCGCAAAATATATAGGGTGTTCCATTTAAATTAAACAAGTTATTGCCGTTTAAAGCTAGTAATTATTTGATATAAATTTTTGGACACTCTGTATAAGGTAGTATAATTTTTATTATTGCAACACAACATCTGATCAATAAATAATCTTCAGTAAATATTTGGTATTAAAACCTTTAATACCCTTGGAGAAATGAAGCCTTAAATTTTTTACAGAAATTTCACAAAATTGAAATTATTTCAAAAACGGTAAGGTTTAAGCATGATAAACCTTAATAAAATTTACCTTTATTCCAACCGTAGAATCTAAAAATAGAAAAATATACAGGGTGTTCCATTTAAAAAAACACAACTATAATATTTTTTACTTATTTGGGACACTCTGTATCTTGTAAAATAATTTTTAAATTGTACCTCTAATAGTCCTTCAACGAACCCAAAACATACAATTTGTAAAAATCTAATTGTTTAGCTACAGTACTCCGTGTCGTATGTGGTGAACAACCCTGTATTTATGAAATGCAAAATGCTGAGAGACGCGCACCAATTGCAAAGAAGAATTCTTCCACTTCTTTGACATTAATTCAGGAACGCGAGCACGCGCCTGTATCAGTGCGAACCGGCCTTTAGATAATTACCGATATAGCCAGCGACATATTTGCCGTGATTTTTCAACACACAAACCTAACCGAGCGTAATCAAGAAAGCTATGCACCGCGAAGCCACGCCTTATTATTTTTACCTATACAGGGTGATAATGATGTCAATGAAATATAATTGGATTTTTTTTAATAAGTCACGTGGAATTAATAATCTAGAAGGTTAGACCACTATGGAATTCTTATGTGAAACAGTTCAAACTGAAGGCTGAAAATAAACAGAAAAACATTTCTGACTCACCTATCACTCTGATACAATTCCACGGAAGAATTCAGCTCAGCCAATTGTTCTTTGAGCAGTTGCAAGTTGGAATTAACAAAACTCAGCTCTACAGCTACTGTTTCTTTCAATTTCTTGTTTGTCGTCGCTTTGAACAGGTTCTCAGCTCCAGCTCTCAGCCTCAGCTCCTTGTTGATCTCCTGGTTCAGCTTGGAACGACGATTTTGTAGCTTTCCACGACACGTTGCCACCCTGGGATCCGAACCCTGTAACAAAACAAAGAATTTTTTTATACTTCTTGGAGCTAATAAAATGTAATAAATAGTTTTTTTGAAGTTATTCCGGTTGTTTTACCTCGATAATTGCTCTATCCGAATCTCTGGATCGCGGAGGACATCGGAAAGATTGGCGCTGGACCCACTTCAGCATTTTGAACCATGATGAGGTCGAGGAATGGTATAGTTTTGAAAACGGTACAATATAAACCGATGGTACTCAGAGGAAAATGGATGTATTTTCCAGTAAAGTGACTTTAAAGAAAAAAACTAGTTCCGATAAGGTTCAAGATTTTTTTTTCTAACAACGGTACAAAATTAACCGAAAATATACAAAGAAAACCTGCTATATTTTCCAGTAAAGTGACTGTAAAGATCGAAACTATTCCTGAAGTACTTGAAAATAAATAAAATTGTTAACGGTATAGATTTAACCGAAAATACGTGTATAAAATCGGATGTATTTTCCTGTAAAAGCGCTGTGGTGATGAGAATTAGTGTGGCAAGTCGGTTGGCCCGACGCGAAAATGATAATATGCACCGAGTGACTAACGAGAGCGGCGCGCTCGAGGTTCCGGGGCTCCGGAGAACCGTTTTCTTTAAGTGGTACTGCGTGGCCGTTCGCGGCAACAGATGATGGATGCGAAATATCTCCTTAAAAGAACCAAACTCGCAATTTTTCTTACATCACACTCACTTTTTTAAGTAATCCTTCTATTTTAGTCGTATGCGTAACAAGTAATTCACTGGTTTTATTCAGGCTAACACTAGAAACATTGTTTTGAACCACACTGATTGTTTTTATTTGTAATCATTAATCACTAATACTTTTGGGTTCTTTCTGAGAACGTATTTTTCTTCAAAGCGAAACTTTAGCAAGTTAATCTAAATTCATCACACTTTTGAACCAATTTAAAAACATTAATTAGATTATAATTAATTATTATTTTTTAACGCAGTATGTATATTTATCCAAATTATTAACTATTTTAGTAATAAAACATGCCAATATCAACTATACACAATTAAGAAAACTGTTCGTAACACTACCCACATATTGCAACACTAAAAATCACTATACAAGATTACTAGTGCTGTTTCAAGCTAATTACTACACGCGTCGATTTTTAGGGGAGCGCGATTATGATTATGCGGTATGCAAAAGCGAAATAGTCGCTTGGCTCGGCATATTTTCGATTTGGCGCAACATTTACCGATGCGAACTGATGTGAACTTAGCAGCCAAAAGATAGCGGCCGATTTGCCGAACATAGCCGAAGGGCCAGTGGCGTCGGGCGACTTAACTTAATATGAAATAATCATACAATTTCTTGCAGGAGGATTTTATTAATATTTAAATAGTACTAAAACGAAGTATGCTTCATTATGTTAATATATTATGAAAAATTATTATAAATAATTTATGTATTACATGTTGTTTAATTTTGATTATTATAAAATAAATAAATCTATACTAATATATAAAATCCTTAAAGTGACTGACTCACTGATTAATCACGATCTTGCTCAAACCACTCAACTTAAGAAGCTCAATTTTGGCATACAGGTTGATTCTAGGGCGTAGGGGTGCGAGAAGAAGGGATTTTTCGAAATTCCAGTTCCAAGAGGGTGAAACCACCCCTCAAATATTACAATATTTTTTATTTAAAAAACGGTCAAGTTTCCGAAAAAACGCTTAAACACGTATACTTTATTTTGTTTTTTTTATATATTTTAAGATTTTTTAAAAATGTATACAGGGTGTTTCGAAAAATCTGGTCTGGATTAATCACGATCCTGCTTAAAGCGCTTGACGTAAAAAGCTGATTTTTGGAAAACGGATTGACTTTAGGGTGTAGAGGTTCGATAAGAAGGGATTTTTTGAAACTCGAATTCTAAGGGGGTGAAACCACCTCTCAAATATTAGAATATTTTTTATTTAAAAACCGGTAAGTTTTTCGGAAAAAACTCTTAAACACGTATATTTTATTTTGTTGTTTTACATATTTTAAGATTTTTTAAAAATTTATACAGGGTGTTTCATAAAATATGACCAAATCTCAGGCTCGAATCTCAAATTCCAAGAGGGTGAAAAAATGCCAGTGAAATGGGGTGAAAATGATTTTTATCTTTCATATTTAGTAACTGACAAAATATAATAATATCGCCATATTGTTTTTTCTCATGCTGACATAAATGTGGGAAAATTTTATCCAGTTTGTATGTTAATGGAAATTCTTGCTTTGCTTTATCATCACCATTACAAATGGTTAATTACACGCTAGTCTATAATAAACCATCAGAGTTATTATGAAAAAAATGTTTGCACCCTGTATCTCAAAAATTGAGATGTTTTAGACAAACACTCATTCGAAGTTTTTTCTTAGAATAGGCCCAAGAATCATACCCTTAAATATTATTTTTAGATTATAATTTTATAGAATGTTAATGGTTCTTTAAGATTTCCAAAACAGATACTAGCGTGTTTCGTGCGTGTTCTCCTCCACGGCGGGTACCCTGGGTACCATTTCTGCCGCAGGTACCGCCCGAACTACCTGTATATACGCGGGTACACAGGAAGTCGCGCATCGCCGGTGCACCGTTACGCGCTAGGTCGTTCTTTAATGGCCGTACCACCGACCAGAGAACAACCGTTGGCGTTTCCTGGTGCTCCTCTCCGGCAGCAGCAGCAGCCATCGGGTACAGTTAGCCGACGGTGGTACCGATGACGTTGACGAGGAGGATGCGGCCTTAACGCACAAGAAATAGAAACGTATATCCATACTATTTCATTGCGTGTACTACCTGTAGAATGGTCAGCCATCGTTCAACGTCACGTCATATTATATTGTCGAACTCTCTCAATCACTTATTGTCAACCAGATGAAAGAGATTGGTGACATTATTACGACATTCCGTAAATTACTCCATATTCTTTTTAGTAATTGTCATTTGATTTGGGGTTATAATTTTATTAAAGGACATCGATCAATGTCAAAATTAAAATTTGTTTGTTGCGAGAAAGCTTTGAATAAGAAGACTAAGGAAGGAGCATAATGCTATCCATGTATTCATGCATGGTGAGCGGAAAAGGCACCATAAAAGTTCTCTAGGGTGGGGATCCTTGACAGTTCTGTTTGACGATTCATTTGACACATTTGAATTTGATTTGAAATTTTGTGGATTTGTCAGTCTTTATGGAGCTTATTTTATGTTATTTATTATTTATTCTACTACTGATAGTTGTATAAAGGTAGTAAATCTAGATGGAAATTGTGGCAGAACTTAAATTAACACTGACACTATCGCGATTTATCGAAAAAGACTCTAAAATAGTTGGTTATGTAGCGTGCCGTAGATCTCGGCAAAAATTGAGTGAAATAATGGAACAACTTTTCGCTAGTAAGTGACTATATAATATACATACGTGTAGTAAACCGATCATTTATGAAATTCACTTAAATTAACTAAAATATATATTATTATAAATAATAATGACGTAACGGTGAACGATGGTTCAACAGTCTTTATGTACTCTTTGTAGTTATTTTCAATTATTACAGGGAATACAAAAGACACTTTTAGAAAAAAATTAAACCTATTTAAAGGACATACCTGTACAAAAAAAACAACGCAAATATTTCGTTTTAGTAACAATTCTAAAAGTTAAAAATTACAAAATCAAACGACTGATGGATCTAAATAGACAGTGGCTCATGCTAATGAGCCGTATCAGTATCAAAACCAAATTGTGAAACTAGGCTGTTGTTCAATTGGTCACCCATTTTATAAAATGGCCAGAATTACGTAAAAAATAACAGTAGAAACTTAAGATACGATATAAATCTTAAAATTAGTGGGCTTTGTTTAAAAAATATAAAACTCCTATATTTTTCTTTCTACTTAGTAAACTGTAGTGATAAAATTATTTGATCATATTGAGGTAAGACAAACGAGTTTTAGTATGGAGAAAGCATTTTTGACCATACCCTCCATCAGGGTGTGCCTGTAGTTCGTGAAAGCTTTCCTGCTTCATCTTCTTTGGTATTACACCCAAGTTCGTTGACACTCGATCATTTCTTTCAAATTGTCATATACGAATTTGTTAAGAATAAAATGAGTCTTTTAGAATGTTCAAGTTCCATGAAAAACAATTTTGTATAGTGTTGTACCTTGTACCCATAAAAATCCCACAGGAAAAGTAATTACTATAATACAATTAGGAACGCTTCAGTTTTACATAATCTGTAATAGTATTTCTAGGCTTCCTGATGTCTAACGAAAAAAAATGCTATTCTCTTCTTTTTATTAACCATATTATTATAAGTGAAAGTAAAATGGCTTCACTCGATTTTTTCTTATTATAGCATAAATATCAATTAGTTCAAAATTTTCAACGACTCCACTTCACAGCCAATCGATTCTTCGCGAATTCCTTTCGGTCAAACATCGGAAACTAATTAAACGTATTTGCTTTTTGTTAAGAAGCTTTTAAAACGTATATAGGTACCTATACTCTCGAGCTCTACATTCTTCGTTATAGCTATTTGACTAATAGATTCTTCAGAAAGAGAGCGAAATTATTGAAAATGTTTTTTTTATTTACCATTGAAGCAATTTATTCTCTTTATTCAGATACTTATTTATCTTTATTTTCTACGTGCGGCTCAGACTATGTATAGATGTAGATGTGTATTGTATTCGCCTTTCTTGAGTTATAACTCATCGTACATTCTCAGGGCTTTGAGAAAAGCCAGTATCTGAGAGTAGTGAGGAAAATGGGGAAATCACAGAATCTGTATTCGCTTTTCTTCGTTTCAATCTACCGAGGTGTTAATTGAAGAGATATTGTTCTGTTAAAAACCCCGTGAAAATCCAAAGATTTTTCTTACTTAATCAAGGGAAATATTTGAATTTTCTCTGTCGTAAGTTCTGGAAAACTTCTTCGAGTGTCTTAGACCGTTGGGGGATTCCCATAGATCCCATTCTCATAGATCGTTTGCTTTTTCATTAACATTTGTATCCCTTGGTGGGCTGTGGGCTAGCATCCAGAGTAGGAGGACTTTGACCTGTTCCTATCTAAGATAAGTTGTATCTTACTATCTAAGGACATAAAATACATTATTTTTCTAATATACCATCGTAAATATATCATTTTACGATTGAGTGACAGACCAGTCTTCTTCGTGCGAAGCCAATACGAAGAAACAGTTATTTACTGCTGTGAAACGAAGAGATCTTCGATAAAAAAACACCGATGATGAAGAAGAATTCGGCAAAGATGAAGCGGTCAGCGTGAGAAGAACATTTGGGTCAGTGGAAGCTGCTGGCCTGCCCTCAAGGCCATGCCACACATCTCTTTTAGACTATTCTTAATTATTCTATTATTTATTTACATTGTGCCATAGTAGAATAAGTATGGATATATGCAAATTATAAAAAAATAATTCAATTTTTTTAAGAAACTGATAAGTTTAAAAAAAGAATAATTTTAAATTTATTTAGTCTGAAATAACAATTTTTTTTAAGTATGATTACTGAAATTTTAATTAAAGGTAACAGCCACATTTTTAATATAATTTATTTCTTCTAAAAAAATACAAAAGTACCCCATCAAGATAAATTTAAAACAATCAATACAAATTATAGTTGCTGTCAGAGTACCTATCATCATTTTCCTATGAATAATTCATCACATAATTTTCCGATAATATTCCGAATCTCAGCTTATTCTCACCTGCGGTATTATTATCTCCGGAAGCAATACTACATTTCCTGTCCTGTCCTCCTTTGCGGTACCATTCCCAAAAAATTTCTTCTCCCTTTTACCAAAAGTGCAAAACTTATTCATTATTATAGGTCCCTATGTTATCTCCGATTTGTTTCAATCCATTTTACCGATAGGTACTTTCACTCCAAAACGTCGCTAGCGTTCGCAAAACACTTGCTGAGTGGTACTCTGACCGCGATATTCTTCGCCGTACCCGTTCTCGAGGGAAGAAGAAAACAAACTGACGAAGCAGAAGAAATGGTCTTGGAGATGGACATAGTACTGCGAGGAAGGCGCTATGGTATGACCATTGGTGGGAAATGGGTGTTTTCCATTTTTGGTAGTCTTGTACATTATTGTGTCGTACTGTTTTGTCGGTTGGAAAAACTTACAAAT